AGTCACCAGATTTCAGTATCAGGCCAACCCCAACTGTCCCTGTACCAAATCCAATAAGGGTGAAGAGGCTTCAAGAAAAATACATGATGCTTTTTCTCAAATTTGATTTATTCTTGCTAGGTCTCCCTTAGCATGTAGGGAAAAATTAAAGAATTTTAAGACTAAAAAAAAAAAAAAATGATGAGACTAAAGAAAAATAATCCCAGAGAAACAGGTCCTTAGAGGAGGAAGGGTACAGGGCTTGGAGTCAGAAGACTCACACTAGGGTGTTAGTACCAGAATTTATTTTCCAATCTTACTTGAGTGAGTCCCTGAACCCTACAGTGTCTTCAGTCTCATCCTCAGTGTGGTGGCTGGGGTCACCCACCAGCCTTGCACAGTTGGCCTAAATCACTAGACACCAGGTATGCGAACACATTGTAGAGAGTGAGGGGGGATAGCTATACAGATGTGAAAGAAGACTTCCAAACATGTATTTTGTGAGTTTGGTGGATGGATACTTAATACCCTATGACACAGCTCTAGGTGGCCCCAGGGATTTTTACAAAAGTAAAATAACAAACTTGCAACATTTTACAAGTCACCAGTTCTTATTGCTGGGCTTCTGACTCCTTGATGTTTATTTCTGCCACAGTGTGACTACTGTGATTTTGAGTTTCATAACAGGAAGGTACAACCACTCGGGTTTCTCTTCCCATACACTTCTCTAGTTACAGTGGCTGAATGACCTCTGGATTTAACTATGCTCAACAGTCCACCCCTCGAAGGGATTTAAGTTCTCACAGAGCACACATACACACATCACAGTAGGGGGAAACAATGTGGCTATTTTCTCACGAAACCCCAATGAGTGAACAGACGACTGTGTCTCAAGCAGTCTTCCCCCCTAGGACTCCCAGTCTGAGAGACACCTCCGCTTAGCTGCCCCACGGACACATTAAGCTCAGCGTGGCCAACCCAAACTCGTCCTGTCTCCAGGTCCTCCCTTCCTGAAAAGTTTCTGTTCTCAATATTAACAGCCCTATCACCTTTCCAGTTGCTTAAGACAGTAATGTTGGTGAAGTCATCCTTAATTCCTTTTCCCTTATAATCCTCTGCTCACACATAAGTCTCAAGGGGGCTTATTCTACAGCCTAAATAGCTCTCAGAATTGTTCATGCCATTTTAGCTGCCATCACCCCAGCCTCAAGCCACTTAGTTTCTTACCTGAACTGTCGTTAATAGCTTCCTAACTGATCTGCTTGGACCCACTCTAGCCCCTCTACAACCGGCGCCCCAGAAGACAGCCACAGCATCATGTACCTTGCTCCAGTTTCCAAACTCCTATATAACAGAGGCTGCAAAGGACTCCCCATGACCTGATTCCTGCCTACTTCTCTAGCCTTCCTCTCCTCCTTCTGCATTCAGGGATCTAGCCATGTGTGTTACACTACTAATTGTAACCTGGTATCTGTTCTCCTCTTTCTCAGTAATCACATCCTTATTTTTCAGCTAAATACATGGCCATGGGATAGAAATCTTTCCCAGCCTCCCTTGCAGCTCAGTGTGGCCATGTCACTGGGCTTGAGCCAATGGGAGGTGAGCCCTGCCCTTAAGAAAGGAGGTGTGGCCCTCTCCTTTCATTTCCCTTTCCTGCAGTTGTAATGCACAAAGTGACAGCTGAAGGAATCATTTGGGTCACTAGGTAGAAGGTGCCTGTGGAGGATGACAGCACAAGATGGATGGGGTCAGGTCCCTGATGACTGAAACTGCCAGGTCAAACCTGGACTACCCACCTGGACTTTTTCGTAAGAAGCTTGTTTAGTATTTTTTTTTAAGATTTTATTTATTTATTTATTTGACAGAGAGAGAGAGAGAGCACAAGCAGGGGGAGTGGCAGGCAGAGGGAGAGGGGGAGCCTGATGTGGGACTCAATCCCAGGACCCAGGGATCACGATCCAAGCTGAAGGCAGCTGCTTCACCAACTGAGCCACCTAGGTGCCCAGAAGCTTGTCTACTGTTTAAACCACTGATGCACTGACTTTTCTGTCCCTTGCAGCAGTTTTATCTAAGCCTCATACATCACACCATTCTTCCAGATTCTCCGTTCTCTGGACTTTGACTTGTGCATGGAATTCCCTCTCCCTGAAACACCGCTAACCCTTCTGCTCCTCGTCTGTTATCTATCACCCTTCGAATCTGAGCTGAAATGTGACTTTCCAGGTAAGTTTTCCTTGACTTCCTAGGTGAGGTTAAATCCTCCTGCTATATTTTCCCTTACACTTTCCTTTGGCTAATACTCACTATACCTATAATTGCTGGGTTCACGTGAGTCTCCTTCAGTACCACACACTCTTTAAGAGCAAGTATCTGCTTTGTCCACTGTCATCCAAGTGCCTGGTACTCAGTATATGCCCAACAAATATTTGCTCAATGAACAATATCATAACCCTTGAGTGATTTCTGGACCATACCTTAAGGACTTCTTGGCCTTGGGCGCTTGCGGGGCTCAGTCGGTTAAGCGTCTGCCTTCAGCTCAGGTCATGATCTCAGTGTCCTGGGATCCAGTCCCGCATTGGGCTCCCTGCTCCGCGGGAAGTCTGCCCCTCCCTCTGCCCATGCTCTCTCTCTCTCTCTCAAAGTAAATAAATAAAGTATTTTTTAAAAAAGGACTCCTGGCTTTACATTATAGGACTCCTGTCACCTCTGCTTGTAGCTCTAGTCCTGTCAGACACTCTCAATGTGAATACTGTTTCTCTCCATTCCCTTCTGGACAATTCTGAAATGTGCCAACTCCTTCAACAGATCTACACAGCTCTTTCTAGAGCCCCTTCATTTTCTCTTAATACACCCAGAGCTAGAGAGTGAAGAATTATGTGGACTCTTGGAATTAATATATACATGGAGACCCTTCACTAACTAGTATGACCACGTCTTCAGTAACTGGGATGTCCTACAGGTATTTTTTAAAAGAAAATATAAGAAACATACAAACGCTATTACCTGAATTCTGACCGTATACAGGAAAACATTCTTAAAATATTTTAAAAGCCTCTGGCTGTAAAGTGTACATCACTTTTTAATGGCATTACAAGCACCTGCCAGTTTACTGCTGTATATGCTCACCCTTCACTGACACTGAAGATTCTACATCGCTTACTCGTTTTCACAAATTAAGCATCTCTTTGTTATAACACCGTGGAGTTAAAGAAATAGGGTCCCAAGAAGAAGGCAGTGGGACAAAGAAGCAAACAAATCAAGAGATCTGAGTGCTAGGTCTTAGGTTGCCAATGAGTCAGTGGGAGACCCTGGATCAGTTCTCTTTTTAACTGTAAAATGAAATGTACAAGTAATTCCTAACATCCCTTCTGAGAAAAAAATGTTTTGTTGCCATATCAATTTGCTGTTCATGATTTAACAGAGATGATGTTGGTGATTATGCCAAAAACTGTATCATTACAAGTACTGGCAGGAAACCTGACATTTGCCTGTCACTTTCAGGTTACATGGAGGTTTAAGTGAGTCTCACTATCTAAAAACCAAATGTGTATTTTGGAAAAGCTAGTTTTTGTGTGATGAGAATGGCTTTTAGAATGTGAGCTTTTCCAGTATATGTCATTTTCCTCCCACATTTGTTAGGCGCCCACACTGGATTCAGAAGGTGCTCTGTAAAATCCCACCGGTCAATAAAACAGAATGGTTTTCACTGCCACTCCCTTGATCCCTAGGCCTCCGTTCCCTTCAACCTTCCCGGAGACTGATAAGGAAGATCCAGAGAGCAACCGGGGCAGCGTCAGGCAACAGCACAAGTGTCTGTATTACAAGCACATGCAAAGACATTTGGGCTTGTCGAGTTCTTCAAATCAAGGACGGACTAGTCCAGGCTTTCCACACCTCTAGCAGAGGTTAAAGAGATTCGCAGCCGTCTCCCGGCGTGTACAGGCTGGACGCGAGCGCTCCAAGCTCCCAGTCTCAGAACCTGCACCCTACGGGGTCCTGCCTGGCCAGTCTAGAGCCACTGCCCACCTCTTCACACCCGCCCTGCCCCCGCCCCGCCCCCGCCCCGCAGTCACCAGCCGGTCCTGACCTCCTCGAACTGCTCGCCCGAGCAGCCGGCGCCACGAGCCTCCAGCAGCTCCCGGAACTGCTCCAGGGTGACTGACTCTTCGCCGCGGCCCAGCCGCTCTTCCAGCCAGCGCAAGAGCGCGCCGTGGTGTCTAGACACCAGAGACTCGCAGGGCGGCGCGGGCCGCAACGCCGCCGCCGCCTCTCGCAGTCGGGCGGGCTCCAGCAGCGCCGCGGCGGGCGGCAGCGCCGGTGCCGGGGGGCCCGAGCCGGAGATCGTGCCCGAGTCCGCGGCCCAGTCCTGGTGCGGACCCCAGCCCTCGCCCCCGGCGGCAGCCGCTTCGTCTTCACTGCTGTGACTCGGAGCGTTCCCCATGGAGTCTCCGTCTCGGGCGCCCGGCTGTGCCGCCGCCGCCGCCTCCCCGCCTCGACCTGTCAACCTCCGGCAGCACCCGGCGGACGGGGAGGGGACGACGGCGGCAGAGGCTTCCGGCTTCCTAGCCGTCAAGCGAGGCCTGCCGTCGCAAAGGCGCCGTCAAGCGGACTCAAGCAGATGCCGTAAGACAGAGAGCGAAGGACGGCTTGAGCAGGGGGTGGAAACCCGATTTCCCAGAGGGCTAGTCCGTCCTAACGTGTACGTCATCCCGCAGCCTCCTTTGCCGCCATCTTTGTTGGGGGTGACAACCGGCGTGGCTGAGCTTTCGCCGCTTACACTCTCGCTCTCTCTCCACGTACACTACCTACGCTGAAAAAAAAGCGAAGCCAGGGAGTGGAGCCAGGGAGTGGAGCCAGGGAGTGGTCTTTCGCCAAAGCCGTTTTCCCTTCAGTACCCCGTTGTCCCCTGGGTGGCGCGGGCGGGACGACGGGGCGTCGCGCCGGTGACGTCCGCCGGTGACGTCGCGCCTGCGTCGCCGCCATCTTGGCCCTGGATGGCGGGGCGGCCGCTTGCGGTCTGAATGCTGAGGCTCGGCGGGCGTGGGCTCTTGCTGGGCCTAGCCGCGGCGGCGGCGGCGGCGGCGGCGGCGGCACGGTGGGTGGGCTGGTGGAGCGGCCGCGCTGGCCTTCGCCTTTTCGCCCCCGAGGAGCTGGCCCGCTACCGCGGCGGCCCCGGGGACCCGGGCCTCTACTTGGCGTTGCTCGGCCGCGTCTACGATGTGTCCTCCGGCCGGAGGCACTACGAGCCAGGGGCCCACTATAGCGGCTTCGCAGGTATTAGCGAGGCGGCCGGTAGCCGCCCTTGCGTCGTTCGTCCGCGCACTCATTCATGCACTTGTTCGTTCGTTCATTCATTCATTCATTCATCTATCTGCCCTTTTCTCCCCACAGTCATCAGGCTGACGTGGGGGCCGTGCTCGGCTGCACCATCCCTCTGGGGTCTTCCACGCGGGCGGGACGGTGGCCCGCTGTTACCAGCCCAGCCTGTCCCCTCCCTGTCTCTCCCAGGCGTTCTTTGCGACGTAGGTTCGAGAAACAGGCCTCTTGCCGCTTGTCTTTTGCCCACCGGCCGGCAGGAGCCCCCGGACGCGTGCTCCGCGCCACACGACGTGGCTCAGGGCGCAGCGACGAATGAGACCGTGTCCCTGCCCTCAGACGTCCCCTACTGACTCGTGTTCTCTTCAGGATGTCCCTGTCCAAAGTAACTTTTCTTTATCCCTTCCCAGGTTTCCCCGAAAAATAGTACATTTGGTGTGAGTCGTTCTTGTTTGTAGTACAGATGCACTTAGGTCCGTTAAAGCTGATGGGTTAGAGCAGAGAAAGGTCTGGTCCCCTTTACAGTCTTTCAGAAGAAAGCTGCACATGCGTTAGGCCTGCAACGTCCGTCAGATGAAATTTATTCTGCCGCCCTGTCCAACCAGGCTGGAGGGATCACCATCTCCCAGGTTAAAAAGGAACAAACAAATGCTGAGCTCAGGGCCAGTGACTAGGCTGATGTTAAATAAGCACTTTCCATTTGTCATAGTCTTAGAGTTGGGAAGCTGCCTCGGGTCCTTAAGTCACTTCCCTGTCTCTAGGGAGAACTTCAGAAACAAAGAAGGAGGAATTCGGGTCAGTTGGTGTTGCCAAGCTCCTCAAACAGCCCAGCGAGGAAAGAACTTACCGGAGCTACACAGTGATCTAGAAGCAGAGCTGGGCCTGGGGTCAGGGTTCATTCACCTGCCCGTTGAGGGCAGTCTGCAGTGCACAGCCCCGTCACATCCTGTCGCAGCTGCCACAGCAGGACACACAAGTGTGAACATAAAACCTTTCATCCCTGGGGTCACTGTTTGCAGTGTGCTCTGGCGTCTGCCGAGTTCCTCTGTGCCTGTTGTACACTCAGCATCTATGCACTGACCACTGCCACGCAGCCCGCCTTGTGCCAGGTGCTGAGGAATCAGAAATTCGTGCTCCCCACCACCCACATAGCCTAGGAGGGAAGCAGAGATGTGCATTCGTGCAGTCAATATTTGTATTATTGTCTATTAAGATAGAATTCACACAATATAAAATCCACCCTTTTAAAGTATACACTTCATTACTTTTTAATATAGCCAGAAAGTTGTGCAAACAGCAGCATCATCTAATTCCAGGCATTTTATCACCCCAAAGAAACCCCATATCCGTTAGTGGTCACTCCCCAGTCCCTCCTACCCCTCAGCCCCTGGCAACCTCTTGTCTACTTCCATCTGAAGATTTGCCTGTTAGGACTTTTCATATAAGTGGAGTCATACATGAGGCCTTTTGTGTCTGGCTTTTTTCACTTAGCACAGCATTTTCAAAGTTCATCCAGTCTGTATCGTCACGTATCAGTACTGCATTCCACATTGTGGCCAAATAACATTCTGTTATATGTATATACCACATTTTGTGTATTTAATCATCATTTGTTAGACGTTTTGGTGGTTTCCATTTTTTGCCTATTATGAAAACACGGCTATGAACATACATGTGCACGTTTTTGTTTGGACCTATGTTTTCAGTTCTCATGTAGTAACTCTTGTGTTTCGCTTTTTGAGAAACTGCCAAGTTAATTTCTAAAGTGGCTGTACCCCTACCATCAATGTAGTAGAGTTCCAGTTTCTCCACATTCTCGCCAAACTGGTCATCTTTTTGATTATAGTCATTTAATGGGTTTGATTATTTGCATTTCCCTAATAACTATGATGTTGAGCATCTTTTTATGTGCTTGTTGACCATTTGTGTATCTTCCGTGAAGAAAGGTCTGTTCAAATCCTTTTCCGTTTTTTAATTGGGTTGTCTTTTTACTTTGAGTTGGGAGAGTTCTTTATATACTCTGGATACTAGGCCCTTATCAGATCCATGATTTGTGACTATTTTCTCCCCTGCCATAGGTTGTCTTTTCACTTTCTTGATTGTGTGCTGCAGTGCACAAAATTTTAAAATTTTGATTGAGTTTATTTTGTCTTCGTTAGCTTGTGCTTTTGGTGTCCTATCTAAGAAACCATCACCTAATCCAAGGGCACAAACATTTACCCCTATGTTTTCTTCTAAGAATTTTACAGTTTGAGCTCATTCATGTCATTGATCTATTTTGAGTTAATTTTGTATATGTTGTGAGGTAGGGGCCCATTTTCATTCTTTTGCACGTTGCTCTCCAGTTGTCCAAGCACCATTTGTTGAAAACACTATTCTTTCCCCCTTTGAATTATTGAAATAATTATTGAGAATTGACTTACTGAAAATTGACTGTAAATGCATGGGTTTCATTCAGCCAATATTTATTGATAATTACTAAAGACTAGGCACTACCAGACACTGGGGAATCAATACTGAGTTTGGTGTATTCTCTGCCCTGATAAAACTAGCAGACTAGTAGGAAAGGCAGACATTAGATAGTTATTACATCAACAATTAATGAGTTATTTTGTGACAAGTGTTAAAAGGAAGACATACTTGTGTTAACATCTGTCCCAGCGAGGGGAAATGAGCTTTTCCTGGAGATGGGGATTAGGGGTTTCCAGATGTTTCTCAGAAAATAGGTTCTTGAGTTGGTACAGTGCCGGCAATTTACGAGCTCATCTACTTGGAAACCCATCTCCTGCAGGCCGGGATGCATCAAGGGCGTTTGTGACTGGGGACTACTCCGAAGCAGGCCTGGTGGACCATGTAGCTGACTTGTCATTTTCGGAGGTGCTGACCCTTCAAAATTGGCTTTCATTCTACGAGAAGAATTACGAATTCGTTGGTAGGTATTCCACAGGTCATTTCCATAGATTCTATTCAGTTGTCCTGCAATTTTTTAAAAGAGTTAGAGTTCTTTGGGGATTGGACTCAAGCTTAAAATCTGTACAATACCCATGAAATTTTCCCTTAAACTCTGGTTGTTAGTGTGGCCGTGAGTCCCCAAAGGAAGTGTTTGGGGCACTTGTTTCTCTCACTCATACTCTTGGGAGAGGATGATCCTGCCATTTGCTTTGGCCTCTGTGGCCCCAAAGCCAGAGTTTGCCTGCTGCACCTTGAATCACCAGCTCCAGGAGCCTCGCTGGGTCCCAGGCATCGGGCTTCAGCACCCAGTCAGGAAGGCTCAAGGCCTACGTTTGTGTGCAGTTTTGACAAATACTCTTATTTAGCCCTGTAGGGAGACCAGCATTTGTCTGTGTCCATCCCGAAGGAACTGTCTCCCAAACACTTGTTAAAGCCAGTTGTGCCGGGCATGCAAGGAGGGAATCACCTTTGAAATAGAAAGACACCTAACAGTGTCCCAGAGAAATGTTAGACTCTAAACACTAGAGTGCTTTGTAAACACTGAAAATTGGGGTGGTTGGGGCCCTTTTCCCTCTATGGAGCCCAACTGGACGCGGCCGACTGCCTGGGGAACATCAGTGTTCCTCACCACCAGAACGGGTCTCGGTGGGGAGCGTTCCATCTCTCCCCCTAATACCTCTGACGGTCTGCTCTGTCTTGACCACTTGGGTTACCTTTTCTGAGAACCTTGGCCTTTGCCCGAGCTCCTCCGCTCCCTCCACATCCAACTGACCAGAACACCCACAGTTCTGTGTCCAGCCCCCCACCACACACACTTGTTGGCTCCTGCCCTCCCAGCCTGCACACCCCCTTCTGGGTTTTCCTCCAGGCTGTTCCAGGCCATTCCTGACACCACAACCACGTCTGCACTGAAGGGACTGAGAGCTCTCTGCAGACCTTCAGGGGGCTGGGTTCTCCCTTTTTCCCGGGAGGTTGGTTGAAATATTACCAGGTTAATAAGGAAAAGAAATCCTAACACAAAAGAATAAGAATAGAGCCCTGAGAGTGGGCAAAGGCTGCCAGACCAAACACGTCATCCTGATATTTGGGGAGCAAAGTGCTGTGTTTGAACAGTGTTAGTGTATGTGTGTGAGGGTCGGGGAGGGACTGTAGTCAGTCAGCATGTATTTGAATACCTACTATGGGTAAGTGATGGTTCTGGCCCTCATGGGGACCAGACCAGGGATGAGTTGAGTGCAGGTCCTGCCCTCTTTTGGCTCGTTCTATAGGAGGGGGGCTGTGTTAGGCTCTTTCGGGCCCAGAAAAGCCCCATCAGAGGAGGAAGTGAAGATAGGAAGCCATCTCGGCAGCCAGTGGCCAAGCCTCACAGGCAAATGAGATGTCTTTGTGTTCTGGATACAGTGTTGGCTTGGAGACCCAGCCGGTGGTGACCGCCATTCTCACAACACAGCTTCTCCAACTCTTTCTCTGTTGCCTCTATGACTCCTGCCTCTCTGTGGGTCTCATGTCTAAAACCCAGCATGACAGCCTTGTCGCTGTGCACAAAGAGACCCTCTAGGAGGAAGTTTTCTGCTAGATCAACTCAGAGGCTGCACCCTGATCCCCTCATATATTCTAATATGCACTGAAAATGAATGCTCTGTACTGGGCTGTTTTGAGGGCTGGGGCCTCACTGGTGGGGAGGAGAGACATACATAAACAAGTAAACCGACCACACAATCCCAGTTGGGACTGAGTGTAAATAAAATGGATTGATGTGTGGGGGCGGTGTGGTGTGTGGCACTTTTGAGCAGTTGTTCAGGGGAGGCCTGTTGGAGGGGATAGTAGGTGAGCAGAGACCTGGATGTGAGGAGCCAGTCAGACTGAGGTCTGGGAACAGAGTATTCCAGGCTGAGGGAGGAGTGCCGAGACGGGGGGCAGCTAAGCACAGTCAGCAGATAGGAAGGAAGCCAACATGCAGAGCCGACAGCACACTAGGGAAGGAAGGAGTGGCCCGGGAGGAGTTTGCAGAAGCAAAGAGAAGTCAGACGGCAAGAGTCTTGGAGGCCTTGACAAGAAGTCTGTATTTTATCCACATGCTTTCAGAAGCCACGGCATGGAGGAGATAGGAAGTGACTCATGTTTTCCAAAAATCAGTCAATTGCTTTGTGCAGAAAGAACTGAAGTAGCTGGATCATCAGGAGGCCACAGCTGGAGGCTGTAGTTTGGGTTAGAAATGAAGGTGGCCAGAACCATGGTGTCTTCTAGAGGCCGGCCAGACGAGATTTGCTGTTGGATGGACATGAGCACAGGAAAGTGTACGTTGTATACGAAGGAGCAGCAGCTCCTAATCCAGGTCACAAAAGTGACGTGAACAGAATTGGACAAGTCGGGATGGTTGGCCGTGAGGGGGGACGAAGCTGCCCCTGGCGGCCTAGTAGTGCAGGGCTCAAGGCCACTCAGGCCCCTGCTCTTCTTGGCCGGCCCTTCCAGAAGCACTTTCTGCTGCTGCTTCCTGTGGCAGGTGCTGCAGGAAGCGGCCCGCACATCAGGACTCAGAGACGAAAGTCCCTGCCCCAAAGGAGAGCTGACCCCTCTGGCTCAGGCCTGCAGGTTCATGGACCACTTGCTGGCTGTTTCCATTCAGTTTGTGCACCGCAGGACTGAGGGAGAGTGTGGGCGCCAGCCTCAGGGCCCTCCCAGCTACTCAGCCTCCCTGTCTCTCTCCTAGGTTGTTCTGGGGGTTTGCAGAATGTTGGTGAAGCACAAGCGTAGCGCCTGACCCTGAGGAAATGCTCAATAAATGACTTATTGATAGTTCTACAAGACAAAATCATTTCACTTTGGGAAGAATTGGGCCACAAAAACGTGACCCAATAAGCCAGTCATTTGTCGTACATTTATGGAACACGTCCTGCGTGCCTCCAGCACCGTGGAGCACCGAGGAAGGAATCACACGCAGTTCTGCCCTCCAGGAAGCGCTGTCTGCATATGGGGAAGGGTGGGTGGCCTCCGTATGGGGGAGTCCGCAGCTAGAGCAGGCTCACTTCTATGTGGGGTCTTGTCAGACGTCAAGGGGTTCTTAGTCCTGAGCCAGGAACCCTGGGAGCTTGGGCTTCACCATGGAGGTGACCGAGACCCTGACATCAGCTGTCCGGTCGCCACAGGAAGGGTGATAGGACGGTTCTACAGCGAGGATGGCCTCCCTACGCCGGAACTGACCCAGGTGGAAGCCATGATCAGCCAAGGCTTGGAGGCGGGCCGGCGGGCGCTGGAGGAGAAGCAGACGTTCCCACCGTGCAATGCCGAGTGGAGCTCCAACAGGGGCAGCCGGTTCTGGTGTTCCCCAGAGAGGTACACAGGCTTCCCTCCCACACGTGACTCGGTGACGCCATAACCCAGCTGTCCACCCAGGGGGACTCTTTCGAAGTGCAGGCGCTGTGGGTAGCGAGTCTCAACTGGCTACATGTCCAAGGCTTCTGGGGCCCTGACAACAGGTGAGGTGAGGGTGAGGACCTGGGCGTGTGTTTTGTTTGCTTGCACTCCCCAGAGACCCCGGCCTGGGATGAGCAGGCCCAAGTACAGCTGCTTGGTTTGGCCTGTTGATCTGTCCAAGGGCCTCCGTTCCCTCTTGTCTGCACAAATCCCAGCCGCCTACAGGGACGAGGAGGCGGGGCCGGCCCGCGGCACGAAACATGGCAACTGCTGAGTGTTTCCAAGAAGCCCTTTCCCGTAGAAATAAAGTGAGGAGAGCCCGATCAGGGTAGACGCCCCAGAGATTATTCCTGGGTTGTTTGGGGGCAGCTGGAGGAAGAACAGGTGTTTAATCATCAGGCCCTCAATCCCCTTAACTCTGATGCAGAAGATGGGGACCCCCCCCCGGCACACACAGCAAGCTTCAAGGGCCTCAAGTACGAGCCCAGCTCTCCCTGAGAAGCAGGGGAGCCCCTTCCTCAAGTGTAAGCTGTGTACGTCCACCCTCTTCTGTGCGGAGAGGCCTTCTTGCTCTCCTTGTATGGACGAGAGCCAACAGCCAAAGCTGCTAGCTTTCCCCAGGCCCAGCCCCTGTGTCCATCACATTTCCTCCACCTTAATACAGGGAGCAGGTGTGGAAGGGGCAGGAAGGAAAGCTCCTGTCCAGTTTTGAAGAGATAGGGCCTGGTCTCCAGAAAGAAGGGCTCGGGGAACCTGGCCTGCCCACCTGAGGGCCTGTCTGCCGGTCTCAGTGGCCCCCTCTGGCCTCACTGCCTTCCCTCCCCCGGCGAGTCCACCCTATCCCTGTGCCTCAGCCAGCTCTGCTTTGACTCCCTTTGGAAACGACAAAGGAGTCCTGAGTTCAGACAGGGACTGGGTGTGGAGTAAGGGGAAGGGAAGGGGTGCGAGAGGCGCTAGGATGCAGTGGGGGATTGGAGCCAGACACTGTTTCTGAGACGGTCACAGGCCTGTGGGGGAGAGCCTTCCCCCGGTGCTAGCAGTGGGGGGAAGTGGTGCTGGCTCCTGGGAAGGCGCAGGGCAGGCCCCGGGAGCACCGGGACGGCAGGGGAAGCTGGAGGAAGTGAGGAGGGCTGGCAGGGTTAGGGGGCGCACGCTGCAGACCCCCACCTTGGGAAATCGCCAGGTGGCCTCCCCCACTCCCCTCCCCAGAGACTCATGAGTTCCTGCCAGTAACACGCCCTTGTTCCTTCTGTCCTCAGCGGAGGTGTGAGCAGAGACTGGATCGGTGTCCCCAGGAAGCTGTACAAGCCGGGTGCCAAGGAGCCCCACTGTGTGTGCGTGAGAACCACCGGACCCCCTAGCGACCAGTCCCCGGACCTCCCTGCAGACACGAACCGTGGGGACTTGGACCACCCCAACTTGGGGGAGTACACGGGCTGCCCACCCTTGGCCATCACCTGCTCCTTCCCGCTGTGAGCCCCTGCCCCAGATGGTGATAACCCACAGAGAACCCTGCCTGGAAACACCCTGCCCATACTCTGCAAACGTGGTCCACGCCCCTCACCGAGGGCTCACCCTCCTGTGCCTGAGACCAGAGCGCGCCAACCTGCCCGGTACCGGTCAGCCTGTTTGTGATCTACTCGCCATCCTTCGGAGCCCTCAGACGGTAATGCGCGCAAATCTGACCAGCTCAAAACTAACTGGACTGCCAGGCCCCACCTGTAACTCCCCACCCGGTTAGGGCACTGGGGGCACCGGCAAATCAGAGACAGGCAGATGCGTCCAGAGCAGCCACGGATCATTAAGAGCGTCCATGTAACTCTTCTGGGTTCCCCTGATTTTACCTCCACCCTGAGCCAAGCCACACCTAGTCGATGGGAGCCGAGCCCGACCGGGAGAGGAAAGAAGGAAACAGGGCAGGCTAATCCTGGAGGGGAAGGGCTTTTGCTTATACGGAGGCAGCAAATCCAGACGCCTCCGAGCAAGTTTGAAGTGAGGATATTCTCTTTTAAGCATTTAGAATTGGGTGTGGGAGAAGTCTGCTTTTTGATCAAAAAGTAGTTTCTTTGCTGTGATGCTTCTCCCGGTGGGGTGTGTGTCCAGGGCAACCCGTCACCCCTACGCCAACCCCGCTGACCGGAGGAGCTTCTTACTGGGGACCTACCCTGCCATGCCCCCTCTCCCCCCGCCTGCCTCATGGCGCTTCCCCTCCTGAAGGAAACCCTCCTCTGCGGCACTGATCTACTTCCCGCCACAGCTAAACTTGTGGCCACGCTGCGTGTACTCAGGGTCCTTGCTCCTCAGCCCCCCTCGGCTGTGCAGCAGGCTAGACTCTGCCCTCCTCACCCCAAGGCCATGGCCGTCCGGGACTGGCCACACCTGACGGCCTCTGGGAAACCCTCCCTTGGCTCTTGCCTGATTCCCTTTTCTCCCCCAGGCACCCCTCTCGGCCCATGAGCCCCACCAGGTCTCCTCACTCCCACCTCAGCTGCATCCAGGAAGGCGTTCCTGGGAGCACGTCCTAGGCACCCAGACTCCACGCTTCCGGAATTCAGTCACCTTGTGATGTCACACCAAGTGAGGACCCCAGCAGCCATCCAGAACGCCATCCTCTGCTCCTCCCCCCCTCCCACGCCATCTCAGGCCCCCGGCTCTCCCCCAACCCACCCCCCACCACCTCCCTATGCACCGGGGCACCCTTCTCTGCAGCCTCGTCCACCGCACCGGGCCTGCGGAGCCTCCACCAGGCTGTCCCTCCTGCCTGGACTGGCACCTCTCGGGAGGTTGTGCTCGCCTGGCCTGCCTGCAGCCTTGTTCTCTTTTAAGACAACAACCCAGGTTTCCCGCCTGCCCCTCTCCCTGCACAAGGACCGAGGGCTCCCCAGCTTGGTGTCCTGCACCCCCAGTACCCAGCACGGGGTGTAAGTGCGCAAGTTAGCCCTTAGTCTGCAGATGAGGCGGCACAGAGCAGTGCAGCTGAGCCTCGAACTCCAGGTTCTTGCCCCAACTCCGTGCTGTTTGCACCCCTCTATAGCTTGCTGTGTCCCTGTGGGGTGGGAGGGGCAGGCGAGGCTCACCTCAGGGAGGTTATAGTGGGCGACAGGAGCCCCGCTAGAGCCCCAGAGGCCATCCTCGGGGTGGGAGTGAGGGACAGTGTGGGGCCCAGGTGCAGAGGAGTTCAGACCCTCCCAAAACAAATAGAAATGAACGGAACAAGGCACCCTGTCATCCCAGCCGAGTGTGGCCGGGGAGGGCCCTGGGCACCCACTCTCTGCCGGACTGCAGGCTGCTCACTTCCTCTTTGCCGCCACCATGTACTTTATCGTGAAGAGCTCCTTGTGTTGGGGTGGCGGTCGAATCTTCAAAGGGCTCAGCCGAGAGGAAGCTCGTGGTTACTGGAGCAGTCGCTCTCCGTCCTTCCAGAAGTGGCCCCAGGGCAGAGCTCTGGTGGATGGAGGCAGGGCCCCCAGGACAGCTCTGGCAGGGGACTCCGCTGGAGAGGGAGATGATGCTGGGCAAGGGGCTGCATCTGTTCTCATGTAACCTCTCTGCCGGCCTTGAGAGGGTCCGGAGAAGGGGCACAACAGAGCTGAGCTGTTCCTCCACATCTGCTTTCCTGCTGCCCCCGTGAGCAGGGCTGCATTGAGCATGCTGGGCAGCTGCCCGCCCCCACCCAGGAGTGGAGCGCCTGGGGGTCAAAGGGAGCCATACCAGACCATTGCCCATCCCTGGCTCATTTAGCTCTGGGACAACTGGGATCTGGAAGACCCCACGCACAGGTTGGGGCCCTGTCCAGAAATCCATGGTGCCCCTCAGAGGAGGACAAAGCGAACATCCCACCCCGGTCTTGAGAGCTCCCCCAGCAGCAGAGGCCCCAGACTCCTGCCGGGAAACTGCAGACATTGCTCCCATCAGCCCCCACTGGAGGGGATTCTGTGTCCTTGCATGAGAGAAGGGGCACGTTACCCATTTCTGATGACCTCCCGCAAGGAAAGAAACCGTATGAGCCAGGAAGGACCGCGGTCGCCACTCCAGCTGTATGGGTGCAGACACTAAGGCCCAGAAGTTATGATGCTTGCCCAATACTGTCAGCGAATCAGTAACAGAACGAAAACCCAGTGCTCTTCCCCGGCTGGGCAACAGCGTGGGAGCCTATGCAGACCCGATTCTTGTTTGTACTCACATGTTAGGACTAGTGTTCCCCTCAAGGACGCCTGTTAGGTTTACGGGAGATTGTCCTGTGGAAGCACTTAACAGTGCCCGTTAACCATGAGAAAAGCCGGCAGAGAATGAGCTCTGTCTCCACAGCTGGTCTGAACCGGGGGGAGCAAGCTGGAAGACAGGGAAAGAAAGGCAGTGCGTCCGTCCCAGCACGTCCGACGGCCGGGGGCGGGGGGGTGGCTAGATGTGTATGATCTGTTCAGGGCGTTATGGGCCCCTCGACTTCACACCTTCCCTAGTGCTCTCTGAAACCCCCAGTGCCAGTCCTCCCTCTAGACCACGACCTGCAGAGCCCTCGCCGGGGCTGGATCCTCCCGAGGAGTCTCAAAGGGAGCGTGGCCACCCACGCAGCCTGGGCTGTCGCCTGGCCTGGAGCATGTCCAGGCGGCTGGTGGGTTATGCCTAAAACAGCTACTTTTTGACTGCTGTCACCAACGTGCTTCTGAAAAGTTGGAAATCCAAACTTCCCGAGAGGGTGAGCTATTCAAGGAATGTGTTCACATGCCAGGAGTTAATGGGTTAGCCCGGTGACGGGTATTAAAGAGGGCACGTTCTGCATGGGAGCACTGGGTGTTATATGCAAACAATGAATCATGGATCACTACATCAAAAAAAAAAAATTTGTTTTTAATGCTTATTGGTACTTCTGCATTAAAAAGTAACTATAAATGTCTTATTAAAGTTTCCACTTGAAATGCACAACTTTACCTCATTTTATTGTAAGGAATTGTTACAGAAAATGCAAATATCAATATTTGAAAAATACATTCCATTACATGGACTCCAAAGAAACAATGCCGATTAAAGCATCCTGGTCCTACACGTGATACCGACGTCCCGCACTGAGCACCGCCCTGGACGGCTCGGAAGCCCAAATGATCCACCCGCACATGCGCCTTCAGTTCCTGCCCCGCTGCCGCCCTGCCCCCGGTCTCACACAGCTGCCCCAAAAGGACAAGCTACGAAGTCGAGCAGTCCAGTTGTGTGTTGTGTGCAACGGGTTAGCGTGTGATTTATACCACAAAGGGACCGTACGGGCAGCGATCCTCCAGAGAAAGTCATTAAGGCATCCGTGACGACTTCAGGGAATTCACTGAGTGTTTCTACCTCGTCAAGCCGTCAGCTCTTCATGGACTACTTTATTAAATTACAGTGAGAATGTGGCTTCCACGCCCCTCCTCTTCTGCGGCTGGCAAGAGCAGTCCCAGCGCTGCAAGAAGACTTGTCAGGAGCTCCTTCGGTGCCCATCGTGACAGCGTCTCACTCACCTGCGCACCATCACCTGTCACCTGGGGGCTCGGTGCACCTTTCGGGTCTAAGCATCACCCAGCCCCTCCCGAGGCTTTCCCTCCACTTCATGCCCAAGGACCAGATCAGCGCAGAATCGTTCAGTGGCACAGGCAGGGGCCGCGAGCGGAGCAGGGGCGAACCCACCGGCACGCTGGGCTCCGTGTAGGCACAGCCACAAGTGACCCGGGGCTGAGGTAGAGGGCTAGCGGGCACGGGGACCCCACTGCTGGAGAGAGCACGGCAGGCGAGCCTCGACCAAACCGCGGACTGGGGCGGGCAGCGCTCAGGCAGCAAACTGCAGATGCAACACACGTTGGTACATCATGTGGCGAGACACCACTACAGTCACCGAGAACTAGAAAGTCCTAAGTGGAGGCACTTGAGTTGGGTGGGGTATTCCCGCGTTGGGGGATCGCAGCAAATCAGCCGCTGGGCGCACACACAGCGCGTGCAAGAGCCTGCTGGAGGACACTGTCCAGTGGGCCTAGCGATGAGCAGGAGGCAGGTAGGGCTAACGCAGTGTAACAACGTTCACGGGTGCACACACTGTTTCAGAAAGTTTATTCTTCCCGCTGTACTCCTCACAACTGGTAACTCCCTGAATAAAACCGAGATTCCACTACTAGTATTTAAGCTACGGATTAAACTGTAATGAGAACAGCCCTGCAATTCTACAGCACATTGAGTGCCAGCAGGGCGGTGCCGGGGGGGGGGTCCCACGGGCAGCTGCATGCAGCCCAGCGAGGACCCCCATGGCCCCGGAGACCCCCCGAGGCTGTGGAAAGGTGCCCTGTCTACAGGTACAAGGACGCAGCCTGAAGCTGGCGCAGAACTCACAAAATGCTCCCCCGTTCCGTGGCTGCTCGGTACCACAGCCATCCCTGGACTCTGTGAAGAAACAGAAGCTGGACTTGGCATATTTTAAACAGGCCTTTCAAGATTTTTAAGTGCAATTAGAGGCAAGATTGTTACTAAAATTGGTAATGGCAGGACAGGAGCAAGACCGTTAGCCTCATCCCTGATGGACTTCCCATCCTCCACTCTCCACCATGAACATAGAAAGAGCGAGTATAAAAGTACCAACTGCCTCGATTCACATCTGAAGCATAATTATCTCACCTTCCAACTACAGAACCAGGCCACCTCACGAAGCGCTACTTCCTTGTGGCCCCCCTTCAGGCACCAGAAAATGGAAGCTGACCACAGGCCTCACATAGGCGAGTGTCTGCCAAGACCAGTTGTTCCTCTGTAAAAAGTCTATAGGAAATGTGTCACAGACTTAGGGGACTGGGGAACTCTTCTGATTAATTTTTTCTTTTAAACATTGTGCACAAGCTCATATTAACATAGAAAGCTTATATATCTCATAAATCACAGAAATATTAAAAAGTAGCACTCTGGTTTATCAGCTCATTTTACACACACATTTAGGCAACAAAATGTATAAATCTACAGCAACAGAGAGAACATACTACTACCCAAAAAAATATTTAGTCCCTTTACACATATACTCATACTTCATTAATGCAAAAACAATGTAGTGGTTGTTAAATGTCTAAAAAATCAGCATTACAATCGAGACTGTTAATCTCTGAGAATAACTCATGAACACACATGTTCATCTCAGAGTTCCTTTCTTTAAAGCAGTGCTAGGAGTTTCTCTCTAAATGTACATTTTTTTAAAAACTGGCCAAACCTTCCAAAGGAGACGTTTAGCGCCACAGGGTTAGCATACACACTAGCAGCGACTAGGGCCAGGAAGCTCTGGAGCCTCATTCCACAGGCGAGCCAGCGTGTTCCCAACCGGCTCGCACCTGCTGGGCGGGGCAAGCTGCTGGGAACTCGGGGTTCCTGCACCTGCCGGCCTGAGGCTGCACGATCCCCTCCCCACTGCTGGGCCCGGGTGACACTCTTGCTCCCAGGGACGCTCTGCAGCTCCGTGTGCACTGAGGTCCCATCAGAGCCAATCATTAGAATCACTAATGCGTGGATGTGTGAGGCTATTTCTGAATATGGATTTTTTAAATCGGAATCACCCACAATGCAGCTGTATAAAAAGTGCAGCACAAACAGCACCTCCACCACCCCGGTGGCAGAGTGAGGCCTCCGCGGACAGGACACAGCCAGACGAGAGAACGAGACGCCGCACTCCTGAACCCAGGAGCATCAAGACGGGTAAAGCTTTCAGTTGTTAAGGCCACGATTTTTCAGCTCTCATCTTTGAACCCTGTTTAGAAAGATTTCACCTTTTTTAAAGGGGCAGCTCACTAAAAATCTCAGCTTAGGTTTAAAAAAAAAAAAGACTTCGGGCAAGAGTATCCTATAATCTTTATGAAAACACTGCGCACTGCCACTCACCCAGAGCAAAGACAGCGCTCATGGAGCGGCCAGACGCCCGCCTCCCCCTGTGGGGCTCTGACCGCCCGCCCGCGCAGGAAGACCACGGGAATGCTCAACATGGACACTAAGCTACTGGGAGGGGAATGGTTTTCCGAGTGTCCTTGTAAGTTGCAAGCAGAATGGAGTCCAACTCCTGTCACAGGTGCCGCTGAGGTGACACGGCCTGCCCCACCGAGTCGTCCAGTGACCTCGATCCCAGTCAGACACACAGACAACCCACCGGATCCTTGAAATGGGGTCAATCACACCGGGGTCCTTAATCGTTCAGTCTGTTCCGCAGGAAGACGGGCCGGCCAACCCCTGCTCTGGGTGGGTCAGGCTGGTGAGCAGAACAGCTGCTGGGGAGGCGACCGGGGTGTGGCCTGGGGGCTCCCTAAGAGACCCCCCCCAGAGTCAGTACATCAAAGCAAATGTTGCAAACTCGCACGGGCTTGTTCAGATCAAACTTTATAATAGGAATCTCCTTGGTCGAGCATTTATGGCAAAGAAGGCGTCCGCAGTGGCGGCTGTGGAAGCAAAGCAAGGGGGTGTGAGGGGGGCCTCCAGCAGCCACGGCGGCGCCAATACGGTGTGCCTGCCACACACCAACACATGTCCTACTGAGTTGGTGCAAACACAATTCTGGCCTGCAGGCACATTAAAGTGCTAGCGGGGAAGGCTCTTCGAGATCAAGAGCCCCTCAGCAACTGCCAAAGAACGGGCTCGTTCTGCTGGGCACAGCTCCTCGGCTCTCGGGAGCAGGGAGGCCCCCACCCTCCCCGCGCACCACCTGCCGCAGCATCGCCCCACCTACTCAGGCTCCACGCTGGGCCCTGGCGGGTTCACGGCTTCTCACGGAGAAAGGCAGAAGCAGTGACGGGCAGAAGTGCCGTCGCCCCTCTGGCGAGCAACCCCAAGGCCTTACCAGTGATGTTTGCGAGTCGTGACTCCAAACTTGGCGGCACACTCGTAACAGGTGGACCCGTCGCACCACGGAGGCTCCTTGGACAGCATATCTGCAAGAACAGGCGGAGAGAACCCGTCCCCATCAGAGTGACCGTGCCAGGTGGCCTTGGAGGCCATCGCAGTGACACGTGGGCGCAAAAGCAACACACTCTGAGCTGTCAGGGAAAGCGTGCTGGGGAGGCTCTGGAGCCCTGGCACTTGCCAGGAGGGCTGGGGCAGGAGGGGCGGTGCTCGAGGTGCTGTGACAGCACAGAGTCTGTGGGGGACACAGGGGGTCAGGGGCAGCCAGACCGGGAGGCACAGTGGGAGAGAGACCGTCGGCCGGGAAGACCGAAGGGGGCACATAGCAAGGGGCCACTGGAGGAGAGGCAGGTCTGCGAGAGCAGGTGGCTGCACGGGGGTGGGCCAAGAGTGAGCAGCAAAGGTGACGGAGGGGCCAGGTCTGTGGCATGGGCACCGGCAGAAGACAGGAGCGGCAGAGCCGGAGCGGGTGAGGGCTTGGTGTGAGCTGCAGAGCATTCGGGCTGGGAACGATCAGCACGGACAGCAGAACCACGCCAGCCCTCTGCCACTCGGGAAGTGCTCTGCCCGCGCACGCGGCCTGAGCTCACAGGGAGGGGGCAGCACGTGATCGGTCACTGCCAGCTCCTTCCACACCGGCGCCAGGGTGGCGGCTCCCATTCCGAGCTCTGAGAAGGCGGCCCATGTGCACAGCAAACAGCGCCCTGCTGCGGACCACGCGGGGACACTGGGCAAGTCACCCACGCCAATGTCATGGAGCTGCTAGGAGCCTGGGAGTGCGTGCCTCTGCCCAGACCCTGGGCTAGTAACGCCGTGCCGGTGCCACCTCGGCAGGGACACGACGACACTGGCAAATACAAGACCACCCAGAGTGCACGCTCCTCGCTACAGAAGGAACAGAGGAGGGGTCAGTGGGGCAGAGCACGCAGAGAGCCTGCACTGGTGGAAGGATGAAGGATGTGCAGAGAAGCTGCCGGAGGCCAAGCAAGGGTGACCTGCCCTAACGAACAGACGCATCTGTGAGTTTATGGATCGCTGGTGGGATTGGGGGGCGGGGGATGGACGGGGCCCCAAAGTGCTCTGGAGACTGCTCACAGCCCCTCTCCCACCACGGCCCTCACACAAAGTCCTATACGGGGCCAGGAAAACCGCAGGTGTGTTCTGGAGTTCAGAGGTCACCAGGACATCTAAATGACCCACGCTGTGACTGTGTCTGCCCTGGAGGAGCAGGAAGTAGCCACTCACCTAACAGTCTAAACAGAAGCTGCTTGGTGGCAACCTGGTAGTTGAAGATATTGACTCCCTGGTTATTGTTGACCCCAAGGCGAGCCCCAGAGCGGACGACGGCGCGGCACAAGTTGGCATTCCCTTTCATGTATGCCAAGAGCAGCACTGGAAAACAAAACCACAGGCAGGGCTCCTTCCCACCCGGGCCCGGCTGAGGGCAGGACAGACCCTGACCACGTGTGTCGGCAAAGTCCCCACACACACTCTGGGGAGACGTCCACGGGGGATGCAGCTTTGCCCAGTTGAGGGCCACAAGCCCGGGGGCCACCAAGCTGCTCTGGAGCCCACCGAGCGCTCTGCTCCAAGAGAAGTGAGCGGGGGCCACACGCTGAAGGGCACACGGGGACAAAGCTTTCTCGTTACACGACATAAATACATCTAAAGACCTGTGACGTGTGTACACATGGAGAGAAACATCAGCACGGGCTCATACTCCAGAAGTCCTTCCACCCCAGGGAGGCCTCTTGTGTGCAGGCACCAGCCCCATGGGCGCCCAGGCTCCGGCCAGGCCTGCTGCTGGCCCCTCGCTTCCCTCCCCAGCACCCTGCATTTAAATCCTTTCACTTCATTCTCTGAACGGTGCAGTTGGATGGGGGTTATTTCACATGAGGAAAGAGGCACAGAGAGGTTACAAAATTACCCAGTGTCACCACCCAGAACAGTACAGAGCCAGGCACCAGGACCCAGGCCTGTGTACTGGAAGCCTGAGGAGAAGTGCCTGCCTGCCCGTTTCCGGCTCCTGGACAGCGGCTTGCGTGGCAGCGGGTGCTGGGCCCACAGCTCACTCCCGCGGCCGACTGCCTCGGGCTCAGGCTCATCACAACACATTCATGGGGTGAGACCAAGAACGAAGACAGAATACTTGGTCCCGTGTAAGGTTCGGGACGCTTCTGGGAGACTGCACCGCTGCCAAAGGCCGAGGTGGCTCTGTTTGGCGGGAGGGAGAATGCACAGGAACAAAGCAGCAGCACGAGGCTCCGGAGCCCCGGACTGGGAACAAAGAGATGTGGGTTTCACCTCTGTTTCCCTACTTGAAAAATGGGGACACACTACCTGCACTGCTGATGAGAATATAAACGTAAGAGTCCATCAGAAATGTGGTGACAGCTACACGAATTAACGCCGTGACCGTGGGCAGCCGAGCAGCACCACGGGAGGGGCCTCAGTAAGACACCCGCCCCACTCTATGTGTAACTGGCCACGTTTTCAAAGCCCATCAACACACACTGTAGCAGTCCCTCCTAAAGCATGTGCAGGGACAGACAAGGGGTAAAGGAGGACAGAAAACACAGACGGGCAGGCGTGCGGACAGGAGTATGGCTCGGGAGCTCTAGAGACGTTTCCGACGTGTGTGTGTCCCAAACGAGACACTGTGGAGCGCTGCGGCGGCACTGGCAACAGATGCTCCGAGAACCCCACCCAATGCGCCAGGTGGAGTGCCCCTCAAGGGTGGCATGTGTGCCCGAGCTCTTGTCCTTCCAGGAAGCGGGAGCCCAGTGAGACGGGACATCCGTGCAGGCTGACGTACCTGTGTTTCCTTCCGCGTCTGGTTTATCCAGAGGGTACTCAGGCATGCACTCCAGGAACAGCTCGAAGATGGTTGCTGCGTTCTCTCTGCCATACTGTCCCAGGATGTGCAGTGGCGACTGGCCTCTGACGAAGCAAGTGGGAAAAGCTGGGTTTTGGGTCAGCCACAGGCATCATGCACAAAAGATGTAATCTGAACTCTGTGATGCCAGATAAATTTAAAGACACCTAGTAGGTCACAGAAGTTTTTCCACAAAGTATTTTTCAAAAAGAAACATTCTAAGGTACCAAAGTTGCTCAAGTGCCCTAGTGGCCAGTTACTTCCTTTTTTTTTTTTAATTTTATTATGTTAGTCACCATACAATACATCATTAATTCTTGATGTAGTGATCCACAATCCATTGTTTTCGTGTTAACAGCCAGTGCTCCATGCAATACGTGCCCTCCTTAATACCCATCACAGGCTAACCCATCCCCCCACCCCCCTCCCCTCTAAAACCCTGTTTGTTTCTCAGAGTCCATAGTCTCTCATGGTTCATCTCTCCCTCCGATTCCGCCCCCCTCATTCTTCCCTTCCTTCTCCTAGTGTCCTCCATGCTATTCCTTATGTTCCACAAATAAGTGAAACCATATGATAATTGTCTTTCTCTGCTTGACTTATTTCACTTAGCATAATCCCCTCCAGGTCCATCCATGTCAACGCAAATGGTGGATATTCATCCTTTCTGACGGCTGAGTAATATCCCATTGTGTATATGGACCACATCTTCTTTATCCATTCGTCTGTTGAAGGGCATCTTGGCTCTTTCCACAGTTCGGCTATTGCGGACATTGCTGCTATGAACATTGGGGTGCATATGCCCCTTCTTTTCACATCTGTGTCTCTGGGGTAAATACCCAGGAGTGCAATTGCTGGGTCATAGGGTAGCTCTATTTTTAATTTTTTGAGGCACCTCCACACTGTTTTCCAAAGTGGCTTTACCAGCTTGCATTTCCACCAACAGTGTAAGAGGGTTCCCCTTTCTCCACAACCTCTCCAACATTTGTTGTTTCTTGTGGCCAGTTAGTTCTACAGCGTGGACTGGGGACCCCTGGAAGGCACAGTGACCGCAGCTGTGAGGGGCAGGCCAAGAGACGTGGAGCCAGGCCTCTGCTCTGGACCACACATACTCACCGTAGATTAAAGGCTTCGGCGTCCACGGTGCACTCGGTCAGGAGGACCCGGATGTTGTTGAGCCGCCCGTGCATGACAGCAAGATGAAGAGCTGGAGAGTAAACCCTCTTACTGTGCAAGCCCAGGAGCCCACACAGGAAATCTGGACTGCTCACAAACCTCCCCTGGAACGGGACGAGGCTGGAGCAGCCCCTGTCTACTCACATAGCGATCCCTTCCAGTCTTCACCACCCCCCAGGACGGAGCTGTGCATGCAGCCTCGTAAGACTATGCTTTCTGCTTCCACAGTCACCCAGAGCTGAGACTTCATGGTTTTACCGCAAACCGCTTTAGGGCTCTAGGGTTACTGTGCAGACGGAAAACTGCCCAGGAATGGTCCGTGGGAGGGCAGATGCCCAGCCCAGAGCCCTCCCTGCTATAGCTCTGCTGCTGTAACCAGCCTCCCGGAGGGGGGAGGACCAGGGTGCGGTGCACCTCCACCTCCAGACTAGGGGCACTACTGAGGGCACTCAGCATGGGGCACAGGGGGATGACTGGCGACTACCATTATTTCCATTCTCATCCAGAGCAGCGAAGTCCACTGCGTTCTCCAGGAGGACGGAGCAGATGGTGGGCAGGTCCTGCTGGGCGGCGAGATGGAGGGCGGTCTGGCGATGCTTCGTTAACTCATTCACTTTGGCTCCTGCAAGAAGCTGTGGAAGCTGATTACATGAGCAGCCTCTCCACCACAACCAGCGAAGGTCCCACTTATGGGGGCCAAACCTGCCCGTCTCCAGGCGCACATCCACCTGGCTGGCAACACTGGGAGCACAGGGGCCTCGCACATGCTCCTGGGAAGGCATAAGCCAGCCAAACCCGTCCCAAGCAGAAAGCGGCAATTATCAGTATGTGAAGAAGCCATGCCTTAGGACACAGAAACTCTACATCTAAGACTTCTGGATATAAACTACGCAGGACGACAGTGACATTCACCATACTGCATAAGGGTGTCCACTGCTTACAGTAGCAAAATCAGATCACAAGAAGGGTTCAGTTATGAAAATTACAGGATGTCCAAACAATCTAATAGGTAGCCATTAAGATGATAAAGATTTGTGGTTAAAACATGGAAGGATGTCTGTGATACAGTTAAGTCAAAAAAAGGCCAGTTCGAAGACAGTAGGACAGTATGATCCCGTCAGCAGAGAGAGAGAGAGAGAGAGAGAGAGATGCACGCACGCACACGCACGCTGAAGGTGTGTAAAAGCACTTATACCAAACTCCAAGGAGTCGGGGATAAAAGGCGACCTGCTTCATTATCCTTACATGCTTTACGTTTTTCCCCAATAAGCATATACTATGTTTATATTATTTTTTGTTGCTATTAAGATTTTATTTTTAAGTAATCTGCACCCCAAACATGGGGCTTGAACTCACGACCTCGAGATCAAGAGTCCCACGCACCACTGACTGAGCCAGCCAGGCGCCCCTCCTACATTACTTTTTGAAAGAAAGAAATTAACCCAAAGAATTACAGAATTAAAAGCAGGAAGGACCTTTTGACAATATCCTGCCACTCATTCCTTTTCTGACAGGGTTCCAGTCTGCGACCAGAGCCCACGGTGCCTCCCCCGCAGACTGAGGCCATCCTGGCCTCTGCGTGTGTGGACACTGCCTGTGGGAGACCAAGGCCTTGCTGAGCGGCTCTGGTTCAGACCCTGCCTTCCAAGTCCCAGCCTCCCCAGACCTCTGGGCACCCAGTGAGAGCACGCACAGGTCCAGGAGGACAGAGAGGGGCATCCGTGGCCACAAGTGCTGCATGCGTGTGCTGGGGTTCATAGCTAACCTCAAGATTGGTTAACTGGGGAGAAGCGGGGTAGGTCTGGGCAAAGGCACTCTTTCGAGGTGAACAGGCTCCAACATGAAGCTGCACGGCCACAGTCTGATCAGCTGTTTCTAGGGACTCCCACCACCTGTGAGGTCAGGGAGGCAGCACCTCGACCTTGAAGGGGCCATGACCCTCTAGCCTGTCGAGGCTCTCAGACGGATGGACACATGGTCTGACTGCCTGCTACTCTGAGGCCCACCTCTGCCTCCGTGGCTGGTCCCCACACCCAGTCTGACCCCCCGCCAAGCCTTCTCCAACCCAGCTCACGGAAACCGCCCTCACACCCCACCAGAGAGGTAAATGCTCTCTCGCTCTAACACATAACAAGTCATAAAGGTTTTCGAAGAAGTCTTTTTCAAAAACAAAAATGGGATACGGGCGCCCAGCTGGCTCTAGCTGGTAGAGCACGTGACTCTTGATTTCAGGGCTGTGAGCTCAAGCCCCACACTGGGCACAGAGCTTACTCATTTAAAAAAGGGAAAAAAAAAAAAAAGAAGGTCACCAGTCGAGTGCCCCACTGGCTAGTTGTACAGCATGTACTAGGGCTGATGGGACAGGGGCCGGCCAGATGACATGAAGCCTCCACCCTGGATGTGCTCTCAGCTCAAACACTTGCTTGGCTTCTCCTCACCAAAAGGATAAAGGCTGCTCACAATTCTTGGTCTGCAGTGTCACACCCTACAATCTGGTCCCTATCTGCCCCTCCAACCACATTTCCCACACTCTCCCCAAATTTCAACCAAACCTTTCTAATGAAAGCACCCCCATGCACTTTCTAGTCTCCACACCCTTGCTCAGACTGTTCCCTGGCCTGCATGGCATTATGTCACACTGGAAAAGGCAGGCTTTGCAGTCGAACAGAAATGGCTAAAATCCCAGCCACACTACTGACTACCTCATAATCTTGGGGGAAAAGTTCTTTCTAAGCTTTCATTTTCTCCTTTGTAAAACGTAAAAATTTTCCTACACCTCTCTGGGTGGTTTTGAGAATTAAGAGGTGGTAAGCTCCTTGACATCAGTCTTGGTGGTGATTTTTGGATCTGACTCCAAAAGCAAAAATAAACAAATCAGGCCAGAAACTAAAAAGCTTCTGCACAGCAAAATCATCAACAAAATGAAAAGGCATGACCTACTGAATGGATGAAAATATTTGCAAATCATATATATGGTAAGGGGCTAATATCCAAAATACACAGAGAACTCATTACAACTCAATAGCAAATAAATAAAATGATTTAAAAACAGGCAGAAGGACCTGACAGACGTTTCTCCAAAGAAGACATCCAGATGGCCAACAGACACACAAAAAGATGCTCAACATCACTCATCATCAGGGAAATGCAAATCAAAACCACGATGAGACACCACCTCACACCTGTCAGAATGGCTAAAATCAACAACACAGGGAACAGCAGGTGTTGGGAGGATGCGGAGAAAGGGGAAGCCTGTGCACCGTTGGTGGGAACGCAAGCTGGTGCAGCCCCTCTGGAGAACAGTATGGAGGTTCCTCAAAATATTAGAAATAGAACTACCCTATGATCCAGTAATTTCACTACTGGGTATTTATCCACCTTAACAACCACATTGACTTTGATAATCTGGACCTGCTTCTGGCCTCCTTGAGAGTTCTCCACAGAAAGGAGAGGGAGCCACCTCCCAAGTCTGGGACCCCACCTTCTCCTCACACGTGCACCCACCTCACGCTGCACAGCTAGGGCCCTCACAGATGCACAGGCGGCCCGTCACCAAGGCTGGGCCTGCAGCCCTGCCCCCTCCCACAGCCCACCCACCCCCAGGCCACCCCCAGAGCTGTGCACGTCCTGTGTTGCTAGAAAAACGCCACTCTGAAAAGCTATCTCTGCACCCCCCTGTTCACTGCAGCATTATTTACAGGTAAAGCCAAGACATGGATGAGTGGATAAAAATATGGTGTGAATACACAATGGAATATGACTCAGCCATCAAAGAAAATGAAATCCTGCCATTTATAACAAAATGGATGGAACTTGAGGGCATTAGGCTACATGAAGTCAGTCAGACAGAGAAAGACAAATACCATATGATCCCACTTATATGCAGCATCTAAAAAACAGACAAAAAACCCAAACTCACAGATACAGAGAACAGATTGGTGGTTTCCAGAGATGGGGTGGGGGTGTTGAAATGGTGTGAAGGGGGTCAAAAGGTACAAACTTTCAGTTATGAAATATGTAAGTCCTGGGCGCCTGGGTGGCTCAGCGAGTGAAGCATCTGCCTTCAGCTCAGGTCATGGTCCTGGGGTTCTGGGCTTAAGTCCCACCTCGGGCTCCCTGCTCAGCGGGGAGCCTACTTCTCCCTCTCCCTCTGCCTGCCGCTCCCCCTGCTTGTGCTCTGTCTCTCCGTCTCTGTCTCTCAAATAAATAAAATCTTAAAAAGAAAAATAAATAAATAAATAAAATACATAAGCCCTGGGGCTGTAATGTACAGCATGGGAAACACAGTTAATACCATACTGCAGGGGCGCCTGGGTGGCTCAGTTGTTAAGCGTCTGCCTTCGGCTCAGGTCATGATCCCAGGGTCCTGGGATCGAACACCGCATCGGGCTCCCCGCTCCGCGGGAAGCCTGCTTCTCCCTCTCCCACTCCCCCTGCTTGTGTTCCCTCTCTCGCTGTGTCTCTCTCTGTCAAACAAATAAAATCTTTTAAAAAAAGAAAACATTTAAAAAAAAAAATACCATACTGCATATGTGAAAGCTGCTAAGAGGGGTAAATCTTAAAGTCCTCATCACAAGAAAAAAATTTTTGTGACTGTGTGTGACAGATGTTAACTAGACTTATTGTGGTGACCACTTTGCACTATATACAAATACTGAACCGCTGTGATGTACACCGGAAACTAATATAATGTTCTATGTTGATTATAGCTCAGTTAAAAAAAAAAGATTAATTAAAAAGAGAGCAAGCAGGCGCACACACGTGGGAGCGGCCTGAGGGCACCTGCCGCATGCCCGGTGCCGGGCGCAGACGTGGGCCTCCCTTCCCTTACAGCCGGGCCTGCCTCAGCCCCCGAATCCTGCTTTCCCTCAAGGCCTCGCTCCGGCACTCGATGCACTCGCTGCCTGCTGGGCTCTCAGGACACTCTGTCTACAGACGTACCTGCTTTCCCAAGGGCACTGGCTTAGCGCCCCAAATTCATGCCAGCCTTTCAGAAAACCTGGCAAAACACCTGTGATGAGAGCTTCTGCAAGCGGCACGACCCGGGGTCCACAGTCACAAGCAATGTCTCAGCGACACTTACCAAGTTGCGGACAATAATCTCCGAGCCTGCTTGGACAGCGAGGTGCAAAGGGGTCAGCTTGGAGGCATCCTGGACTCTGGAATTCACATTAGCCTGGACGCTGATCAGGAACAGGACGCTCTCGATGTCAGAGTTCTGAACTGCCACGTGCAGAAAATTCCGGCCCTTGTTATCCACCTAAGGCAACAAGTGGGAGCCCAAACATTAGTGGGTTCCCCTTGCAAGAGCGCCTCCTTGAGCACGGGCCAGGGGTGATGGTGTCACCAACCCCCTCGGGTCCAGGAGGCTCCCAAGAACCAACACTGCACGTGCCCCCTGCAACAGACCCTCTCTGCACGTGTGCACCTGACCACGTGTGCGTGGCCCTGGCACCCTCTGGCAGCAGAAGCTGATCTGGAAAGCTGAGAGACACCCTGCAGGACAGGAAAAGGAAGGGGTGCTTGGGGAAAAAGGTAAAGGCAAAGACTAGTCATGGAGTCCCCTGCTCTAGCTTGGACAAGCACCCGGCACCCTCACACTGCAGCTGCAACACCAGCCTGACCCTGAGCAGTTTCACAAGTTTCTTCTTTTATCGAGCTACAGAATAACAACACACACCGGGGAGGGAGCCTCCAGCGCGCTCTGCTCACACGCAGCAGAAAAGAGCTCACTCGAACCAGACCACAGAGAAATTGTAGTTACTGGAGCCATCATGTCAGTGCGAGTGCTCGGTGAGAAGTGAGGGGGCAGCAACAATGCCACGCTCGCAGGCACGCACACACGTGCACAGCATGTGCCACTGTCCAAGGCGGTGTTTCTACAAAGGACTCTGATCCACTGTGCCTGTTCCACTTGTGAGGAAACGTGAGGGGCTACCCGCTCACCAGTATGTGACAGCACCTGCACAAGGGTGAGGCGAGCACCCACAAAACTCGGTCATACGCACACACTGAAGAAAGTGGCATGGGGTAAGCCTGAGCACCCAAGCAGCGGTCTTCCCCCATGCCAGGATTTCATTTTGTTCAGCTGCCAAGTTTCCACATCACTGTCATCAGTGGCTACTCAGGGATCGTGGCAGTGCTCTACAGGCCGGATGGGACCCCAGCCCCCGCCACAGACCAGCCGTGGCTGGCACTTCCCGCCCAGTCCGCACCGCAGGGCAGCACTTCACCAGCCGCACTGAGCAGCTGCTGAAGAACCACAGAGAAGGAAAGCCTGCGCCTGCTACACTGGATAATGACAACTCCTCAGAAACTTTCTCCCCAGAGAGCTGCCCCAACATCACACCAAAAGCTCCTCCTGTTCAATTCAAATCTCTTGATAGACCTTCATTACCAAGGCAATGAGACCAAGCAAAAGCACATGATGACACCATTTGGGCATGCCACAGAATCCCTCTCCTGGGGCCTGGCCACCTCCAGCCTCCCTGTGTGGCACCACCGCGTGGCTGACACGGGCAGCCAAGTCTCACCTGGCACTGACACTCCCTTGGAATGGCCAGACTTCAAGAAAGGGGAAAGTAATTTCAACACAAATGTCTTTACGGCTAGGAGACCTGTTTGGCTGAGGCCATCTGTTTAGTCTCCACGTAACGGGCTCCCCCGAGCTCGGGCCCTGTGCAGAATGTTGGGGGCGGGTCCCTCACCTGCTCGGCAGCCCCAGACTCTCGCTTGAGGATGGCCTCAGCTGCCCGGTTATTCTTGTAAGTCATGGCGCAGGCAAAAGGGGTCAGCCCCTGTCTGTCGCGGACACTCAAGTGGATATCGGGGTGGGAGATAAGCAACTGAATGATGACGCTGTGCTGGTTGCTGATGGCCACGTGGACAGGTGCTCTTCCTTCTGCATCCTACAGGGACAAAGCACAATTTCAGTGTCCAGATGAAAAGAGAAACTCAGGAAAAATAGGAAGGGGATCAAATCAAATTTGGTTCTGAGAACCGGTATTGCCACCCTGTGTTTGAAACCAGCTCTGGCCAAGCCCAGAGAAGACCAGAGGCCACTGCCATCACCCCCACACTCTGGTGATCCAGGGATACAAGCATACTTGGTTTAGAAGAGGTACGGTCACCCTCACCTCTGAGAACACTCCCCACCCTGCAGCCTACGTCAGTCCTCACAGGCCAGGACACTGAAGAGCACCAAGGAACATAACTCAGGGGTGCTCCACGGAGCTACTGGAACATTCTAAACACAGTGCTCAGCTTGAGACTAGGACAAACTCACTCAATGGAAATGTATAACCAATGGAGATAAGAAGCAAAGAGAAGCTGACTGGAGAAATGTTCCTCACACTGTAGAAAGGACAGAGGCACAGAGTGGGAGAGTCTTCACCTGAAAGCCTTACACTTACTGGGCAGGCTGTTATGACCCAAAGGAAGTCACTCCATCCACCTGTCCCTTAGCCCCACTCACAGCCAAGCCGAGGCCCAGGACCGAGAGTCTGCAAGGCCCCTGGCAGTTAAGAGATTTCCCTAATTCTGCGGTCAGCGTCCACCTCCCTGGAAAGAGAAATTCTCCATACCTGTGTGTTTACATTGGCACCGAATTCCAGAAGACACTGGACCGTCTCTTCCAGCCCCCAGGAGGCTGCCAAATGCAAGGGGGTCTGCCCATCTCTCGCCTCCTCCTCCCCTTCTCCATTAGGGCCGGGCTGCCTGGGACTGTTCACGTCGCAGCCACTGAAAGCCAACAGGGAAATGAAAGTAGGCTTCGAGAGCCAGGCTTCCAACCCAGCCAGAGGCCTGCTGATAAATGCACAGTAGCAGCCTCATCCAATGAAAAAGCTGCTGCTGCCAGGACTACTGTCTTGGTCACAAATACTGACCCGTCTGGGTCCCACTCTCACCAATTCTTCTTTGGTCTTAGGGCAGCCTGGGCACCAGAACTCTTCAAAGTTCCCCAAGGGATCTGTATGCATTTATAATCTGCGTACCACTGCTCTAAAGGTTCCTCCCAGGCACGCTACACTCCAAGCATGCTGTGAGCTCATGCACCTTTGGGGGCGGGGGGGGAGGGGGTCCCATAGGGGCCATGTGGTTTCCTCCACCCCAGCCTCCTGGCTGCACAGTGTGACCTGGTCTGATTGGACTCTGGGAGCCCCTATGGCCTCCAGAGCAGGAAGCCAGCTCAGCTTCTAGGCTCTGTGATGTGGGCACCCAAGCCCTTCTCCTCAGAAGTGGGTCAAGTGCCTTAACTGGGGACGTCAGACCAGCCAAGGCACGCCAAGACTACAGCTGAATAAGACACGAGGAGACACTTGGGGTTCTCAGACCTGCGAATGAGGAAGCAGGCGGTCGACTCATTGTTTTCATCAATGGCCCTGTGCAGGAGCGTCTGCAGGCACCCACTGGGCCCCGGGCCCCAGCACGTGGCATCACAACCATGTCTGACCTGCAGAAAACACAGGTTACCCCCAAACACTGCCCAGCAAAGTCAAACATTTTATCACTGAGCTCTATGTACACCATTAGATTCATTTCTTTCAGGTGAGATACAGCTGAAATTAACTGCTAATTATTTTAATCTGTACAAACGCTGATTAAAATGTGCTTTGTGCCAGGTTCTGTGGGATGGGTTTGGGAAATACAAGAAAGACAGAAAGACAAGTTTATCATCGCCCTCGGGAGCTGTGTCCCAGGAGGGAGAGAGAAAACACACACACACACACACACACACACACACACCACACATACACACACACTCTCTCTCTCTCTCTCTCTCTCCCCCCCCTGGCCTCAGCGACACACCTGGAACTCACAGGTAATCTCAATACAACTGGGTGAGACCCCCCAGCTGGAAAATGCACTACTGTCACATTTCAGGCATTTCAGAAACCTGAATGAGGACTTCCTGGGCCTGTCTTCCGAGTAAGGGAGACAAACCATAGATCTGGGGACTTATCACTACGGTAAGAGTGAGGGCAGCCCACATCCAAGGACTCTCGAGGAGGCACCTCAGCTCTCTGGCTTCTTGGTAGTTTTGGTAAAGACAGCCTACAAGGAAGTGCTGGCCAAGGTTACGCTGAACTGCAAGTTTTAAACAGGACTTTCCACTGCTCATCCGACCCAACTGGCTGCTTGGCAGATCTCCTGCTCCCTGCGACTGCTATGCAGGCACTGAATCAGTCGTGGACACGAAACACCCCCATGTATAACCAGAGGCGGAAGCTCCGCTCATCTCACCAGGGTAGAGGCGATGTCCTCCAGACTGTTTGCCAAGGCGAGCCACAGTGGGGGGTTCCCCTTCTCATCCGGCACAGACATATCTGCTCCCCGGGTGCATATGGCATCCACTACGAGTGGAAGCTGGTTTCTGATGGCCAGCTGAAGGGCTGTCTCCCCGTCCTGAGTCCTGAGAGGACATGCAGACCAAAACCAACGTTTGTAGCTGGAGCCAAACGATAATGCGTGCCCTCTGGGCATCCCAGAGGCCAGAACCCACATGACTCACGTTGATCAATATTCTTTCAGAGCAATTTAACCTGTCAAGAGCATCTGTCCCTTCTGCCTTTTTAAAAAATATAGCTGTGCCATCCTAGTGCGCCCAGAAGGTAGCGGACCAACACCCCAGCAGGGTGACACCTCTCAGGCATCCAGCTGCTTCCAAGAGCATCTCAATAAAATGCCATCATGGCTGCCTACTTGACAAAACACATCTTTCACCTCAGTCAGGGTCACCTGACACTGGAGATAAATTCCTCTGAAAATACAGAAATAATAGAAACTTAAGTCTGTATTTCTCCCCCAAGGCTTTCTGACAGCTCATTTGTTGGAATGCTCTTCGTTATGCATGAAATCCCTCTCTCAACAACGGCTTCTGGACTGTTCTTCCAACGAGCTCTGTGAGGTATTGTGGCCTGCTCCTGAAGCGTTCCCCTCCACCACCCCGCAAGTCTCAGTGAAACGGGAGCTGGTACTGCGGCAGGGAGTGCTGCTCCGGCCTACCGGACGTTTATGTCTGCCTGGTGCTCCAGGAGGAAGAGCGCGCTCTTGCTGTCCTGCCGCTGCATGGCCATGTGCAGCAAGGTCTGCCCGTCTGACATGGCGTCGTTGATGCAGGCCCCGGAGCCCAGCAGCTGGGCTGCGATCGTGTGCATGCCTGGGACACAAACAGGCCCTGACTGCCCCACATGCTCAACATCTTACTGCAACACACACCCCCTCTCGACTTCTCAAAGCCAGCAGTTTCCACAGGGTATTACAGGCTTAACCCCAACCCAATGACGAGCCCAGCCCCTCCAGGCCTCCCTCCCTCCCCTCCTCCCCCCGCACCCTTCCGACGCAGGTCTGTCTGCGGATGCCGGTAGGCTCGGGCACCCCCTTACCGGTCCATAATGCCAGGCCCAGCACCGTCTGATCTCGGGAATCCTTGAGGCTGAAGTCCGGAATGATTTGCAAGTTGTTGGTGGCATGAAGAGCATTAGCTAAAATTTTTAAAGTTAACACTTGATTTCCCCATCCCATGGAGCACGTTTAAAGTATTCAGGAGCGTAAGAGCTAGTTTCCAACTAACACACTGGCTAGAATACAATCACCTCTACACAAAGAGAGTTCATAAATCTTGTCGGGGGTGGAAGCCCAGAAACCTGGTATTTTGGAGCAAAGCTTATGGGAAAAATAAAAGTTTTTAAAGCTTAAAATAGTGAATCTTCACAAAAGGAAAACAAACCCACTATTGAAACACATAATGATTCCCTGACGGCTGACGAGAGTCAAAACCATGGCCTGGTACTACTTTCCTACCATCTTACCACTCCTGTGAGGACCCAGAGAAAGGTGCACTCTACCTAAAATCTCACTTCCTTGCACAAGCAAAAGGCTGAACACGCTGACCTTCACAAGGATGGGGCAAGACGGAAACAAGTTCCAGGACAGGAAAGAGGAAAACCCGAGGATGACTTTCTGAGGGAAGTGGGCCTCCCCATGGCAGGGGCTGCCCTTGGTCTTCCCGCTCCTCTCATGGTTCACCTGCCGGGGAGGCTGAGGCAGGTGACAGAACAGCCGGCTTGAGCAGTACCTGGGGCTGCAGGGTCCTCAGAAACTGCTCACACTGAGGCAGAACTTTGGGAAAACACCCAACATGAGAGAGTAGTCGTCACCGGTTCTAAAGCCATAACCTAACAGGTGGAGTGGGCAGGCCCATCCTAACCCAGGGAAACAGTGGTCAGGAGCCAGACTACATGCTTACCTAGTTTGACCTGGAACGATTTGGGGGCAAGAAAATTCCCCAACGGAAGGAACATCAACTCTGTAACTACTCAGAACTACTGTACTGTTAACGACTCAGAACTACTGTACAAAGGCCAAGGTGAGGAGCAATTCCCAGTCACCCACCTTTCTGCTCCAGGATGACAGACACCACATCCGGATGATTATAGGCAATGGCCATGTGCAGTGGTGTCTGCAGATAGACGCTGTCCACGGAGCTGGTCGCGGACGGGGGCTCCTTCGGCAAAGGCGGAGCTTCGTCCGTCTGCAGGTTCGGGTTGGCACCTTGCTGCAGGAGCTCTGCGGTAAGGTTGGCCAGGCCATGCCGACAGGCTGTGTGCAACGGTGTTTCTCCCTGAACAGAAGCAGACGGCCCACCTCAGAGCAAGTTCAGGAGGGGACTTCCCATCACAGGGCGCTAACGACAGCCTGTGTGTTGGATCCCAGGTCCCTGGCAGTAGTCGCAGCCCTTGGTTTATCCTGTCACCAGCTGGCCATGAGGCGTCCACACCTGAGGTCTGCCCCTCCCTTCCCTGCGCCATCAGCCTCCATTTATTTAATGTCTGCCCAAGTGCCCTCCAAACACCCCGGCCCCTCCTCTTCTACATGTCCAAGAACCTTCCTAATCACCCTTCCAACAGCTGTTACTAAACAACCTCGACGTGCCACAGAAGGAAGCCCCAGGGAGACGGCCAGAGCCTCAACTGCAGCCCCGCGGGGACAGGGCTAACGGTGGAGCCACCGCGCCCCTCCCACACCCACCCCCACGGGTCTCTCTGACCGGCTCACACCAGCCCCATCTTGAACTCGGATCAAGTCCTCCTTCCCCCCCTTTTTAAAATTAAAAACATTTTAACCTGGTATTCCACATACTCAATTCACTATTCAAGAGGCACAAGAACATATAGTGACAAGTTTCCTCCCTGCCCTGCCCCCACACCCAAATCTCCCCCCGCCCCCCAGGAAACCCTGGTACCAGATTCCTGCGTCCTTCCACGGACAGAAGAGTCACAGAAGGACAGGTACACAGACACACACCGCATCTTTCCACCCAAACGGAAGGAATCCAATTGAACACACTGCCCTGCTCCTTATTCTTATGGAAGATATACCTCATCCCTTTAGAGTCAAAGACTCAACAAGGCTCCTTGTGAAACACAGCAAGATCCCACTTCCTCTTCCCTAAAAAGAAATTTTCACTTTTAACTCTCAGCTGGGTTTCTGCATTCTCCCTATTTCTAACTAGCAAGTTTCTGTTGCCACCACTCAGTTTTACAGGCTCAGGTACTGTATGTGGACCTCCCACTGCTATGTCACTGTGTCACGGGACTCAGCCCCCCGGCCCCCTGCCAATACCCCCTTCCCCATCGACCTGTGCCGCGGTGTGGAGAGCCTCACCAAGTGTCCTGTGTCCTTGTGTCACGGGACTCAGCCCCCCGGCCCCCTGCCAACATCCCCTTCCCCATTGACCTGTGCCGCGGTGTGGAGGGCCTCGCAACAGTTTCCTCCTCCGTAGCACCATCTTCCGCTCCAGCCCCCTCCCCTCCACATTCGCACTGGGAATGCTCACTGGCCCCCATGACCCCACCAGAGTCTGGAAGCACAGGAATGTCACGCCCAGACCTCCATCCGACATCTCTGCTCAACAGTCACCAAGTCAAATTCGCTATGCAGCAGTTCCTCCTCCTGGTAATTCTCGTTCTCTTCATGGCGGCATCTGGCCGTTTCACCCCCTCTTGACCCTGCTTCTCAGAGCCCCAGCTGGTACGAGTATAATTCCACAAACCCTCTGAAGCCTATCCCTGTAGGTCCAAATTCAGTATCCAAGGTCAGCACTATTCGCTACCAGTCTGGGTGACTCCCACCGCCCCGGCCTTGACCTCAACGGTGCACCCACTGGGCCAGCTTCCCAGGACCGCTTGTTACTCAAAACCCTTCACATGGATCTTCTCTTCCCACAGGATAAAATCCAAAGAACTCAACCAGCATTCCAGACCCTTCTCCAGTGTCGCTCTTACTTGCCTTCAAATCGGGTCTCTTGAGGCGCATCTCGGGGTTCTCCCTGTTTTGTTACGAAGGGTATAAGAGAAGGAACGGCTGGTAGACAATGTGAGCTCCATACCACGAGAGATGAACAGTGGGCAAAACGGATGAGGCCGGAGGAGACAGACACAGACAGACACATGTAACGGATGAGGCCGGAGGAGACAGACACAGACAGACACACGTAACAGATGAGGCCGAGGAGACAGAGAGACAGACACACGTAATGGATGAGGCTGGAAGAGACAGACACAGACAGACACACGTAACGGATGAGGCCGGAGGAGACAGACACAGACACACGTAACGGATGAGGCCGGAGGAGACAGACACAGACAGACACACATAACAGATGAGGCCGAGGAGACAGACAGACAGACAGACACACGTAATGGATGAGGCTGGAAGAGACAGACACAGACAGACACACGTAACGGATGAGGCCGGAGGAGACAGACACAGACAGACACAGGTAACGGATGAGGCCGGAGGAGATAGACACAGACAGACACACGTAACGGATGACGCCGGAAGAGACAGACACAGACAGACACACGTAACGGCCGAAGCAAAGTCAAGGAAGCCACCAGCGCACTCAGGGACATGCTGCTGCTCAGCTCGAGAGCAGGCCATGTACGGGTTTAGGTGCAGAAAGGTCAGCATATTGAATGGCGGAAAGGATGGTGCTGCCATCTCCCCTAAGCTTCCGAGACACTTCGGTGTGTCTCATGCAGAAGCTTACGGTGTGTACTGCCTTGCCCAGCGCTGTTAAGAAAGTGTGCAACCTTCCATCCTACACCTGAGTCTTAATGCTGGCTCCATCACTGGTGAGCCACTTAACCTCTCAGAGCCTCACCGTTCTTTGCCCTGAAACGAGGGATTTGGACATGTCGAGAATGTTTCTTCCAGGTCCACTCTGAGAATTAAAAGAACCAACATCCTCAAAGCTCGGAGCACAAAGGTGCAAAGTAAATGTGACCTTAGAGACAAGCACAGCCTCCCTATATGAAAATAGCAGTGAAGATAACATCACACAGCACCCGATGTCCTAGCCCATTATGCTAACAAGCACTTACCTGTGCCCTTTCCTTTTCCTAATCCATACCCAATGACATCAATGTGAATCCCGTTTTGCAAAGAAGGAAACCGAAGCTCACAAAGGGTCAGTAACTTGCTTAAGATCACACAAGGCAGGGTGAGAAATGGGAAGTCTTACCCCAAAGCCATGCTTTGAACACTATGCACTCTGCCTCGTGAGCCTGAGACCTAGACTAAATAAGCACCCACACAGGAAAGACTCTGTAAACCAAAGTGTTATTAAAAATGGAGAGTCTACGGTGGCAGTTTGGGTGTGCGAGCCTGGCACTCCCCAGCAGACCCAGATGTCCACAGCATCCAGGTCAGGACCCGATATTCCACAAATGTTTAGGGACTGGCTGCTGAACGAAGCAACCAACCGGTATTTGGGGACAAAACGTCCATTTCACCCTGGTTTTCTAACCAAGTACATGTCTGATCAGACACAGACTGGAAAAGAAGCTAGTTTTTCCCACACAACCAGCACTGCCTATCTGGCCCGGACCCACGCTGCTCCCCTGGCCACCCCGGCACACTTACCCACTTGTTCCTGTGATTGACCTGGGCGCCGCTGGCCGCCAGGAAAAGAGCTGCGGCCTCATTCCCGGCTTCAGCCGCCCGCTGCAGTAAGCCGTTCCCTGGGGACAGCGAGCACACTCGTTTCCATCTGCACAACAAGCCCCCTCGCCACCTTCCACAGCGCACAAGCCCGCACCCCACACCCACACCCACACGGGCCCTCTCTGCACGGGGACGCAGACACCGGGCAGGCCTGGGTGGAACAAACACTTGGTCGGGAGTCAGGAGACATGCATTCTTTCAGAGTCTCTGCCACTGGACGCCGCCCGTGGCCAGAGGTGAGTTCTGCCTCCTGCCGAGGACGGGTCAGAACGCGGTTTCTCAGTAGTGGTGCTCCTGCCATTTCAGGGCAGGGGCTCTTTGTTGTGAGGCGTCTGTTCTGCACACGGGATGACAACCAGATGCCAACAGCACCCCAGCCTTACTGTAACAACTATGTCTAGAGTTGCTGCCAAAAGTCCAGGGGAGGGGGACAGTTGTCCGAGAACCTCTGGACCTAGAATGAAGAGAATGTGAGCTGAAGTTCTACCAGAAAATGCCCTTTACATTTTATCCCTAAGGCCTTAAATATGTTTGCTCTCGGCTTAGAAATGTTTTGCTTAGCACTGTTTTCTAAATAAAAATCTTAGGAAAAAAAACATTTATTTTCTTCTTTCCCTCATGGAATGTTTTTAGCCCCAAAGCATCGTTTCCCTTTCTATTAACATCCATTTCCTGTTCGGATAAACCCAGAATCTCATGTGCTGCAGCTATGCTATTTGAAAACTCAAATTAAATACCAGGACTAAAAATAGGTAAAGAAATGGGACATGGCTAAAATCAACAACACAGGAAACAACAGGTGTTGGCAAGGATATGGAGAAAGGGGAAACCTCGTGCACTGTTGGTGGGAATGCAAACTGGTGCAGCCATCTGGAAAATAGCATGGAGGTTCCTCAGAAAGTTAAAAATAGAGCTACCCTAATTGCCCTACTAGGTATTTACCCAAAGAATACAAAAATACAGATACGAAAGGGCACATGCACCCTGATGTTTCTAGAAGCATTATCAACAATAGCCAAACTGCAGAGAGAGCCCAGATGTCCATAAACAGATGGATGAAGAAGATGTGGTGTGTGTACACACACACACACACACACAAACACACACACGGTGGAATATTACTCAACCATCAAAAAGAATGAAATCTTGCCATTTGCAATGACATGGATGGACCTGGACTGTATTATGCTGAGCAAAATAAGCCATCAGAAAAAAGAGAGATACGATATGATCTCACTCATGGAATTCAAGAAAGAAAACAGATGAACACAGGGGAAGGGGGAAAAGAAAAGAAGGGGAGATGGAAACAAACCAGAAGAGACTCTTAATGACAGAGAAGAAACAGGGTTGCTGCAGGGAGGTGGAGGAGGGATGGGCATTAAGGAGAGCACTGGGTGTCGTATGTAACTGATGAATCACTGAGTTCTACTCCAGAAACCAATATTGTGCTGTATGTTAACTACTTTAAAAAAAAAAGAAAGAAAAGAAATGGGACAAATGCTTTGTTTTCATGCCATTTTTCCTTTTCTCTCAGAGACTGTGATTCCACCCCTAGCTGAGAGCCACCCTAACTTAGAGACCCCTAATGAGGGTCCCACCTTCACTTCCATAGTCATTCTGGGGCACACAAAACATGAACATGGGCCTCCCCATCAAACAAAGATGACCTTCAACTGCTAAAACATTATGCTGAGGAACATGCATTCCATGTATAAGGACAACTGGAACAAGGAAAAAATAATAATCCTGAACTTGCACTAAAACTCAAAGTATATAAAGTAAAACTGACAGAACTAGCAAGACAATGGATAAATCCATAATCACAATGAAGAATTTTAATACACCTCCCAAAACTGACAAATCAAGCAGTCTAACAGTTAGTAAGTTAATGTGTAAGATTTACACAGCATGATGAACACGCTTGATGCATGGACATAAGCAAAGACTAAGCAGGACATAAACAGTGAAAGAATGCACATTCTTAACATCTTGCCTTCGGCTCAGGTCACGATCCCAGGGTCCTGGGATAGGGTCCCGCGTCAGGCTCCTTGCTCAGCAGGGAGCCTGCTTCTCCCTTTCCTCCCTGCTCGTGTTCTCTCTCGCTATCTCTGTCTCTCTCTCAAATAAATAAAATCTTTAACGAAAAAAATTAAAAATTAAAAAAAACTTTCTCACTAAAAAAAAAAAAACACAGTCTTGTCAAGTACCTATCAAGTTTTCATAAAAACTGGATCTGCAGGGGCGCCTGGGTGGCTCAGTTGGTTGGGCATCTGCCTTCGGCTCAGGTCATGATCCGGGAGTCCAGGGATCAGGTCCCGCGCCGGGCTCCCTGCTCTGCGGGGCGTCTGTGTCTCCCTCTCCCTCTGACCCTCCCCCTGCTCCTCCTCTCTCCCTCTCTAATAAATAAATTTTAAAAATCTTTAAAATAAAAAAAAACTGGATCTGCAAGAACCTAACATTCAAGCCCTAAATATCAAAGAACTAGTTTCTTATATAATGTAATGATCATATGATTACATTAGAAAACAGTAAAATTATGGCCAATAACTACTACACCTTTGTAAATTAAGAGCAATTTAGTAACAATCTCGTTTCCAGAGGGTTTTCCTGATCCCCTCGGTGTGGAGTGCCCTGCCTTTAGCTTTCATGTCACCAGAGGGGTAATTTAATTTGATCTTTATTCAAATTATTAACTTCTTTCAGGGAAAGGGCTGCTTAATATCCATCCTTTTTTGGCCCATTCCCCTCATCCACAGCACCCACGCACACTTTATACATAGCAATACGGATTACAATGGGATCCTCCTCCTTAAAATATCCCATTTTATTTAGTCAGATCAAGGAAATATCCACATTAAAACAGTGGTTCTTAAAGTGTGGTCGTTGGATTCCTGGGGGATCCTGAGTGTCTTTCAGGGGCCCATGAGGTCAAAACTGTTCCCGTAACAATAACGCTGGATGTTTGCTCGTCCCCCTGTGCTCACTGGCATGGCCAGCAGGTCACACTAAGGCGTGAGCACAAATAAACAAGGGGTCCCGGCATGTACCCGTAGTCACTGCATTAGTCTTTACCACCATCCACCAGCCAAAAAAGGGGCAGTTTCTTGATAAAGCAGTAAAAATTACTAAATTTCTTAAATTTCAACGAGTACCTGTCCTTTTAGAACTCTGCGTGACATTTCATTTGTAACTGGGCAAATCCAATAAAAGTATATTCATTTAGAAAACAGCTATGACTTTAGTAAAAATCTGATAAGAAAAGCACAAAAAAAAATACATACATACATAAGATACATTTCTGTGTGACAAAGTTAAGTAGCATGCATAAAACCGCATCCGCGGCGTAACAAAGTCCCACAATGGTCTCCAGGAAAGGCACGGGAGCCACTGTTTAAGCTGCAAGCTAAGCTAGCAGTTTTCTTCATGGAACACAACTTTCATGAAAGAAGGGCTGATTAACAAACCAGTTATTTAAACAAGAGCATCCGACAGACATTTTCCTGAAAATGAACAATGTGAGCCTATCTCTTTAAGAAAAACAACTGGCAATAATTGTAGTGAATGATAAAATTTGGATCTTGCAAGTGAGTATCAGAATTTTGGAAAACTTTTACCCAAAACCGCAAGTTTGCCAGCTTATCAACACTGGAAGACTTTTCTGATGAGATCGCTGATGTTATCAGTAAATGTCATTCTAAAATACACAAACATTTGGAAGATCGTTTCAGGAAGATTGTTCCACTCAGTGAACCAGTACGTTTCAAATAATCAAGTCATGATGTTATAAAATCATGTATGGAGAAAAGATCCATTCAAGCACAAACGGACCATGCATTTTCATACACCAGAGTATGAAGAATTCATTGACACACTTTCAGATTCCACACTGCAACTGACTTTAAACTATCATTTGGTCAATTCTGCTTGCTATAGAATCTAAGAAACACATCCACAATTATCTGAGAAGGCTCTAAAATATGCCTCCCTTTTCCAGCTACGTAACTGTGTGAGGAAATGTTTTCTTCACATACTTTAACCAAAACAACTTATCTCAAAAGGTTGAATACAGATGCAGATACAAGAAACCAGTCACTCTTCCAACTAATTGTGTTTTGAACATTATTCTTCATAAAAAAATGCTATGTTAACCATATAATGGTTTGGGGGCGCCTGGGTGGCTCAGTCGTTAAGCGTCTGCCTTCGGCTCAGGTCATGGTCCCAGGGTCCTGGGATCGAGCCCCGCATCGGGCTCCCTGCTCCGTGGGAAGCCTGCTTCTCCCTCTCCCACTCCCCCTGCTTGTGTTCCCTCTCTCGCTGTGTCTCTCTCTGTCAAATAAATAAATAAAATCTTAAAAAAAAAAACTATTAAAACAAAACATATAATGGTTTGTTATTTTTATATTAATACATCTTTTAAAAATTTCAGTTTTAATTTCTAAAATGTTACATATCAAAGCTATAACCCACCGAAAATAAAATACTTGGGGATATAATTTTTAAGAGTGTAAAAGGAGTTCTGAAGCTCACTGCACCAAATAAATGGAAGTGTTTCTGCTTAACAGACTCAGAGTCTGGCTGAACTTCTTCAAGCATAAGATTAAAAAAATAACTCAGGCTTTTACTACAGTGAAAAGCACAGACTGATTCCCCTAATACTATGCCATTCGGTTTCTAACTTTCTGGTACAAGTGCTGATGTGATGTTTCATGGCCCCCCGGACCTGAGCCCCAGCTTGGGGGGTCCATGTGTTACCTGTGACAGTGTCCGGTGCGTTGGTGTTGCTGCCCCGCTGGATGAGTCTGGCTGCAAAGCTGTTCTCATCAAATGAGGTCCCATTCGTCACCGGGAGGTCTTCGAAGGGGTTCACCGAGTGGTCCGGAGACACGGTGACGTACTGCACCGCGAGCCACAGAGCTGTGCTGCCCCTGTGGTCCTTCAGTTCCAGATCCAGCCTGAAGTAAGGAAGCGAACAGCACATACAACCCTCTGCCAACAGCCCCATCTTCTCTTCATACACATTTGAATGACAACTCCTCACTGATTTTCACTTATTAACATTTACAACACTAAAAAACACTTTAAGAGAACTATGTTGCACTCATTATCCCACCCTCCCAGCTGCTTTTCCAGCGCTCCGCGTGCGTACCGTTTGCACTGCAGCAACTGGCTGAACACACGTTCATTCCTGGCCACGATGCACGTGTGCAAGGGAGTCCTGTGGACGAGAGAGAAGAGGGGTCAGCCCAGAACAGGCGCGGTCAGGATGACCCACAAGAACCCCACGTTTCCGCAACAGTGTCGCTTTGTGCCCCAGCAAACAGCTTTCCAAAATCATGACCAAGTATCAAAGAATGAAAATGGAGTTGCTTCTATGTCACCATTTAGTCAGTGGCCAAAAGGACAAGAACCAACAAAAGGAAGAGACACACAGAACACTCTCCAGTTAAATGCTGACACTCCCTATTACCCGTGTTCTTAACCAGCAGTTTCTACACATGTATGCCTATTCCCCCCACCTATCCTCCACAATTCTGAAAACAAATGTTTTTCTTCCTGTAACTCTGGGCTATGCTTGAACACAGCGTGGTAACAGGTAGGGACTGATGGGAGCGGCTTCTGACTGCCCTTCAGTGCGTTTACTCAGCCCTTACGTGCCCTGAAGGACAACCTCCCCACCCCCCGCTGGCACCCTTCTGAGGCACACGCCACCAATGGCTGCTGCAGCCGGACAAAGTCAAATTAAAGATTCAACAGAAGATAAAAAGGATGCAATTATTTCAGGAAATAAAGTAGTTATCACACGATAATGAGAGTTCAGAGAGACCCATTTGACTTAATTGTGGAATCCTTCCACACACGTCTATTTTCTTATTCTGACAGCTGCACAGAACTCAGTTCTTACTTTGTGGGAGGCTTTTCTAAGGTATAAAATACTGCGCTGTGACTACAGAAAGTGGGTCCCACTTGTTGGAGGTCCCCTTCTGTGCCTCCCATACTGCCGCCCCAAAGATACGCAGCCCTTCCGTAGCCTCTAAACCACAAGGGACCCTCAACAAGGTACTTCTGGGAAGAGGCAAAGGAACACAACTGCCGTCAGAGGTGTTGTGGAGGAAGACATGCGCTCTGCGGAGAGCCGACCGAAGCCAGAGTAGTCACACCTAGTGAGAACTGGGTTTAACACAGAGAATTTCCCAACAATCAGACCACCTTGAGATGGAGTGCGCCCCTTCTTCACAATACCCCACCAGCTCTGACAAAGATGCTGGGACAAAGTTCCTTTGGAGCAACTGGACCAGTGACCACTTGAACAAGACAGAAACTGCTTACAAATCCATGGACCTCAGCTCCCAGCAGGGAAATGCTTAGTCGTGCCTCTCATCTGTCTAACAAACCAGTGTCTGTGACTTCAATGAAAATCATACTGAGTATCAAGTCCCTGTCTGCTAGTTGTGTGCCACCATAAAATACCATTCTGGAAAGAGCACTAAGAGCAGACTGTCTGACCCCACTTACCTGCCCTTGCTGTCCTGCATGTTGGGGTTGGCACCAGCCTGCAAAAGGGCCTCTGCGATCTGGGCCATCTCAGACATCACATCTGCCGAGTGTTTCTTCGCACTGTACAAAGCCACAAGGTGCAACGGTGTCTCCTGGGCACCCAACGTAGCAGCATTGACAAGGGCCCCATTCTTAATGAGGAAGGTGGCAGCAAAGAGATCTCCTTGAAAAGAAACAAAAATGGTCACCCATGACAACACCAGGGCAAGCTATTGGCCAATGCTTCCTCGGAAACTCAGTAAGTGCAGACAAAATAGAGGAACAACCGGGCATGTCTTGGCAGAAGAACCTCGGGGACACCTGTAAGTGGAAACTCGTCATCAAGATCACGAAGTCCATACTTGAATTCCAAAGGCTTCATTCAATTTCTGATTACCTGTTGTCATCTGTCCTGCCCCCTCACCTCAACATCACTATTTAAGTACACCAGGCTTCTACACTTAATGGCCTCTCCTACTCATCAGCTCTCAAAGAGGGTTTAAAGATTCCTCCCCAACACAGTTGATGCCCCTCTCTCATTTCCTGACCACAGTCTGCTCCTGAGCAACTCTTACCGCCAATCTGCTATACTTACATACAGGTTCCTGCTCAAAGTATGACCCCGTCTGATTGATTTATTGTGATTAAATGTTCTCAATCTATTACGTACAAACATTAACAGTCTCAACAAGAAGTTTTCAACTGAATATTTGAACCAAGAATCTATACACATTATTCTTTACAAAAACTCCACATGGTAAATTAAGTGGTTGTCAAAACAAAGCTTCCTCCTAAGTCCCCTCCACTGCCGTAACTCTTGGAGCATTTACAGGTACAAGAGTCTGTCTGGGACTACTTAAAAATACCAAATTAATTCTGAATAACTTACATAAAATCCAGTAAGTTCGACAGCTCAAACTGCCGTCTTTGACTATTCACAGTGCTCTGTATGAGGAAACACAGAACCGACCTTGACATCCTGACAAAAGGCCAAGAATTAAGTTTACATAAAGATACTAAAGGTGTACAGTTCTGTAAAAACATGGCTAAATTCAGAACCAAGCAATCTGACAATTTCATCTCAAAAATACTGGTGGACAAGCAGTTAAAGTGTGCTTGTCAAGTTAACCTGGAGGATGATAGGGATTGAGCAAATAAATTTGCTGTAAGATTACTTAAAATTCAATCTTCCTTGGATTTAATTCCATGTACAACTTAAAAGTATGCAAAAACACTCACTATACATAAAAAAGTATCGGGCTCCCAGCTTAGAGGAGAGTCTGCCTCTCCCTCTACCCCTCCCCACCCTCCCCGCTTGTGCTTTCTAATAAATAAAACCTTAAAAAAAGAAAAGAAAAGAAGGCAAGAATAGCAATGCATCATAAGATAATGAACTATTAACAAAGCAATCACCCAGTTACAAATGCACGATGCTTGCTTTGAGGCTTTCTGTCTAGCTGGAGGGGAAGCAATGGTTTTTTCTGGGCACCTCCAAGCAGCACTGATGAGCTCACTGCAGGTAAGTCTTCAGAGCAAACCTCCTTCCCCTTCCGGGCCAGGTGTAACTCTGGCGGGTGGGACACAGCACTTCGCTAAGTAGTCCCAAAGGTACACCTGAGATTCAGAGCTACTTTCTGTAGATTGTGTCTCCACTTCACCAAGGTCTACAGGATCAATTTCTTGCAAATCACACCCTTCTTCAGCTGGAAGATCCCCCAAAGGCAGAGCCACTGCTGCTCAGCGGACTTCCTACGTCTCATGCGTGTGCACAGTCTTGAGATGGGCCAGGTTGTCGAAGGTGCCGCAGAACTTCTTTGCTATATAGATCATAGAAAATGGTATTCTTTCCACAGCTGATCTGTTTTTGTCTTTGCATCCAGACATGTTCATCTATTCCTAATTCTGTTAGTGCTGTGGATAGATGTACGCTCCTTTGAATCCCAACCTCCAGATGATGATTTTCTCCTTTCAAAGTCACTTATGAGAAGTTTTCTTTTATATCTTGCAATATCATTCATCTTCAATTATACTTCTGCAGCCTCAACATCTAGAGTAGGGCTTAGGATTTTCAGGAGTGGCAAAGTTCTCAAGTCTGTTATCTGTATTCCTATGCTCATTTTTTTTTTTAAAGATTGTATTTATTTTAGAGAGAGAGAGAGAGAGCGCACGCGCGAGCAGGGGAAGGGGCTCTCGAGAAGGAGAGGGAGAGAGAATCCTCAAGCAGACTCCCCACTGAGCACGGAGCCTAACATGGGGCTCTGTACTTTCTTCCAAGGGGCCATCTTGCCAGAGAATGTCAGCTCTGGCATGGAGGTGCTCAGGCTGCCACAGCCCACTTAGATGCTGACTGATCCATTTCTGATTTTTCTTTGTACCTGCCACTGTCTTATATAAAACAGGTACCAGGGAGATGTTTGGGAAAAAAACAGATTGGTCAAGGCTATGAGATCCTACTTCAACAGACTGGCTTTGATTCCAATCAATTATGACTTTAGGAAACTTCAGATTTCTCTAACCAGCCCCTTCTTTAGCCCCCAGTTTTTTCCTGGGGCCTGGGGGAAAGTGCAATCTTTACCAACATCACAAGCAAAGGACCAAAAATCAGATTTCTTTACAAGATATTGGTAGAGCTCTGAGAGAAACAGTTGATATGCACAATGGGGGCTAGGCTGGGTCAGGGCTTTGTCATTCATATACATATACACAGTGGGGTAGGAACAACAGAGATCCGGCCTAAAAGAGAATAAGCACAAACATTCGCAACAGAATACAACATCCCAGAGAAAGCCACTTACGCTCTGGAGTGAAAAGAAAATTCAGGATTGTTGGGATAAAGGGCCTTAAAATGAAAAGACTGATGTACACAATGGTGGGGGAGAGGTGGGATATAGTTTCACACCTTTAAGCTCAGCACATATTCCAAACTAAGAGAGAAACACAGTAAAGCTAAAACAAGACGGCTTGATGAAAACCTTAAAATACACCATACCTAGAGAAGATGAACCAGGCAAGACTGTCCACAGACACCAGTTATAGGACAACCGACCAATGGCTGGACTGGGATGGAAGAGGGATAATAAAAAAAAAGACTTTCTATCTTAAGCCCTCTTAAAAGAATTATAGCTTTTAGATTAGATTTACTTGGATTAATAAGAGCCAAAGATTTTTTCTTTACTTACACATATATATGCACATAAATATATGCACCCCACACAAAAAGTTATTTAGGAATTACTGGAAATTGAAAATTGGGGACATGTTAACATTAAAAGAAAGCCTATGGGTACACAATCTAGAGGGAAAAGACAATGGGCATCAAAGAGCAGAACAAAGGGAGAGAATGGAAAACACCAAAAGCACCATTTATAAAGTTTCTGTCAGTAAGAAAACTTCTAACACATCTTAGATTTCCATCAAAAACAATTACAGGGGCGCCTGGGTGGCTCAGTCGTTAAGTGTCTGCCTTCAGCTCGGGTCAGGATCCCAGGGTCCTGGGATCGAGCCCCGCATCGGGCTCTCTGCTCCGCGGGAAGCCTGCTTCTCCCTCTCCCACTCTCCCTACTTGTGTTCCCTCTCTCGCTGTGTCTCTCTCTGTCAAATAAATAAAATCTTTAAAAAAAAAAAAATTACAATAAAAACCATTTCTTGCTTAAAAGTCGGTTATTCCATCCACCTCATTCAGCGGCACTACCAGGTAAACGAGGCATCACGGTAATGACTTGTCCACATCAACATATCCCTAACAACAACAACATCAAACCTAAACTCCACATGTGACTTTTCCTTGAGTGCAGTTTCTGGAGCAGGGCTGTGTTCAGGGAACCCAGTGACGTTCACCATGAACACAGCCGGCCTCGTGCTGCCCCAGGTGGTGGCACCGTCTGTGAACAGACTACAAGCAGGGAGCGGAACTACTGCAGTGATTATGACAAGGCCAATGCTGATCACCAGGTATTTGTAAACAGCAAGGAGTCACCTTCTTGCCCAGACCTCTGGCCACTTGTCTGCCTCCTGTGGGGTCGTCCACAGACACTAGCTGCCCATGTCATTCTTCACGGAACTGACTGGTACAGATTCTAATGCGAGCCCAGAACCAGGCCCACATCTCACATAAGAAAGATCTTTGCTCAAATTACAACGAACTTCAAGTAAGTTCGACAGTTAAAATTAAGTACATGACTCAATTTAATCACTTGGGAAGGTCCACAGACTGACGGCTCAAGCTAAAGAAGAGTGAAAGAACCCCTATGGGAACTGGAGCTGGTGGTGGCACGGCGGCAGGGAGCTGCCCTACCACCTGGCAGTCACCGTGCTGTGTGTGCCGCGAACACTGGGAAACAGTAAGGACTCAGGACTCCCGCTCTGCACAAGAGGAAAAGGAGACCCAGTGGTGACTAAGTGAGGGTCCAAGGCCCCTGAGTAGGTGCCTGAGCCAGGATTCCAACCCCGGCACACCCTAGCTCCACCGCCAGTGCTCAGTCCCCCACACCGCGCCCCCCTCTCCAGAGCCGGCAGCCATCAAGACGATGGTACCCGGCACTGGTATGCACAGGCTCGCAGGCAATGGATCAATTCAGAGTAGAAGATTAAAGCGCCTGAAAGTAAGCATCAAAGATGCAGCGCCAATTCTTGGCAACTCTCGTAACTAAGCAATCACCAAAATATTTAATAACTCGTCAAAGATGCTGTTCCATCACACATAAGAACTTAACTCCCTAAGAGGAAAGAAATAGAACTCTGAGACTTTTTTTTTTAAGTAACAAGTGCATTTGTTTCCAAAACAAACATCTCAGACACCACACAGTATGGGAAAAATAATTCCCCATGTGGTGGGAACCTTCTCCACTACACACACGCACACCCAGCGCGCTAAGTACCCAACGGCTCTGTACAGTGCCGAGTGAAGCCTGGGAAATGCATCTGCTCTCGACACTGACATACTCCAAGGAGTTCCTTCCCGACGATGAGCAACATTTTCCTCTCCACCAGCCAGCAAGCTTAACACTCTAACACATGACTTTGAGGGTTATTTATATTAAAACCTTTGCCCAAAAAGAGCAAACCCACGGCTGCAACAGGACCATATTTGAAGTAACAACATTCCACCAACTAAGAGCAACTCGTGAATTTTAATAGGATATATATATAAATAATGACAGTAATGATAGTAAACATAAGAATGATGGTATAACAGCACAATAATAGCATAATAGAGCATAATAATGATGGTTGCATGATTGGAAGGGTGAATACACAGGATTCAGATGTGTGGAAATCAGTACATTCTGTCTTTGTTGTCCGTATGTAAACAAAGTGGCCTTGGCCAAGTACTTCAACCGGGTCATCTACAAAATGAAGATTTTGGCAGCTGTGAAAGCTGTCACCACATGCTGGAACTCTGCCTCTAGACAGCTTCTCACTCTGTCAGATACAACTACTGTGAAGTAGAGGCGAGCAGGATCCAACTGGGACTTAAGAATTAATAAGGCCAGGGGAAACATAAAACAAAAAAGACTAGTATTTTTTCCCTTGAAAAGTTAATTAAGATTAAAATGTTTTAATCTTAATTCTATCACTTCCATATTTTTCCCACTATGAATAACATACTCAAAATATAGCTACAATCTCAAATAACCTTCCTAGAACAAAATGAAACTTCACTCTGCCATGACAGAAGTCTAACCTGTACAAGTGAAAATTCTGAATCCAAGAATTTTTTTAAATGTGCATGGTTTTGATCCTTTCCCTCTTTCATAATCCCCAATACAAGTAAAGTCCTCCTGGCACAAGTCCTCGAGAAAGTGATGCATGTCAACGGCTTACAAGTCCAAGGTCCTTCTGGAGGTACCCTCTCCCTGGTCCTTCCTCTGTGGGCACTGCTGAACCCACAAGAGCCTAAGAAACATGGCACAGGCACTGGCTCCTCCTACCCCCGATCACAGATCCTACATCACGTGCAGACTGAAAAAGCTTTTCACAATGTGTGCAACAAGGTCAGAGAATCTTCAAAAATTACCTGGATTAAAGTAAAATTGCTCACAGAGAGAAACACAAAGTAGAATACTTCTCCCTACCTCTTTGGATTCCTTTATGTAACAAGCTCCAGCCATTCTTGTCGACCATGTCCACGTCAGCCTTGTGGCTAACCAGCGTGGTGGCAATACTCTCCAGTCGTCGTGACAGGGCTAGATCTAAAGCAAGGTCTCCATTATGATCCACTTCATTCAGCTTCCCAGGGAGCTGCACAGATAAATCTGTAAATTAGTAACCAGCCAGTAGAGAATACAACTGATTTTAATCTCTCCCAGTTGGACTCTAACATATCATCTTTTTACATAAGTACCAGATTTTAGTGCTATAACACTATATAGTCTCCAAATCCCAATGAATTCACAAACTTCTCTCGGGCCTCCTCAAGGCACATGCCTCCCAGGGAACAAAGAATTAATGGGGATCACGGAGCAGACACAGACCCCATGGAGGACAATACAGGACCAAGAGGGAGATGCAGACAGTGCTGTAGGAGCACAAAGGCCAGGGCTGAGGGTCAGAGCCTGACGGGAACAGGCTCACTTTTTCATAAAAGACTGTGGCTTAACATCTAATTCCCCGCACAGCGTGATGTCTCCCTGGATGCTGGACGCCCAGGATAAAGCACACTATGCTCCCATCTGTCAAGAGCAACTGCGTTTCTTCATAGGGCAGTGAAGTCAGCAGAGTAATAGCCCCTAAAGATGTCTATGTCCTAGTCCCCGGAACCTGTGCCACCATCCCCAACAAAAGGGACTTTGCAGATGTCATTAAGGTTAAGGACCTTGAGGGAAGGCATCCTGGATTAACCAGGAGGGACCCATCTAATCAAATGTGTCCTTAGAAGGGAAAGAGGGAAGCAGAAGAGCAGGTCAGAGAGATGTGACACAAGCGCTTGATGCACCGTCCCTGGCTCAGAAGGAGGAGGAATGTGGTGGCCTCCAGAGGCCAAGAAGAGCTCCCAGCCGAGAACCAGCAAGAAAACGGGGACGCTGGTCCTATAACCACAAGGAAGTAAATTCTGCCAATACCCCAAACGATCAGGAAATGGATTCTCTCCTACAGTCTCCAGAGAGGAAGACAGCCTGCCAACACCTGAACTACAGATGGGTGAGGCCTGCACTAGACTTCCAACCGACAACACTGTAAGATAATACATCTGTGTTGTTAGCCACTAGGTTTGTGGCAATTTCTTACAACAGCAAAAGAAAACTAAAGCAAGTTTTGGTACCTGGAAGTCGGGTACTGCTCCAACACGACCTACACACGCTGGAAGCGGCTTTGGGAATGGGCAGAGGCCGGAAGGGTTTTGAGGAGCGTAAGAGGAAAAGCTCAGACGGCCCTGAACGAAGCACGTGTAGACGCGCGTACAGCAGAGACCGTGCTGGTGATGGCTCAGAGGGAGTGAGGGGCATTTTAGAAAAAAACAAGCAATGTATGCTTTTGGGAAAAAGCAGCAACAGTACCTGTGAGTCCATCTCAATTAGATAGAGGAAGACCACATCCTCTCTCTCTACTTTGATCGCCTTGTGTAACGGGTACTCGGTCTTGGATTTGATCATTTTGTACAACAGCTGGGCACTCATGCTACTGAAGTCTTCCTTCCGCAGGTCGTCCTGAGGACCAAAGGACAGTGAAAAGCAGAGCCGACCCAACATACCAACAGTAACAACAACAGACACTCACGTAGAAGCCCTCAGAATGTGTCTGGCCCTACTTTAAAGGGCTTGGCATTCCCCATCTCTAGTTCACACACGAAGAAGGTAAAGTATCAAGGGACTCAGTAACTCCTGCTCGGGTTCACACAGGGAGTAAAAGGCTGAGCCAGGAACCAGAGCCAGAACCGTCCACCGCAACGCCACTGTGCCTTTCAGACGTGGGACAGCAACACTGACACCCACCCAGGACACCACAAGGAGCCCTCCAGGGGGGTGGGGAAATAGGGTCCTTACCCCCTACAAAGACAGCAGCTGCGGAGTTAATCACAATTTCCAGAGATGAGTCCCCCCCAGTCACAGGTGGTCTCCACTACTGCAAATCTAAATTTCTATCTTAGCAGAAAGAATGCCACTCCTGTTCCAATTCTTTACAATCCAATTATTTTAGACACCTTTTCACACAATGTTGTTAAGTACAAAACAATTTGCAGGAACTAGCTTATAAAACATAGCACTAGACATGATTTTTTTAAAAATGCAAAGACAACAAAGAAATGCAAAAACTGTTCTTTATGACGAACACTTCCGAAGAAGAGCAAATCGAAACTTAACGATGCCGCTCTCCAGGTGCTGGAGAGCACAGAGATGCCCCCAGGCCTGTGGGCAGCTTCTGCAGACAGAGGGAGCAGGCAGGTGTCCCTTTGTTCCAAGCCCGTTTCTTAACCTGAACTAACTTCTGCCTCTCTACTCTCAAATCAGAATGAGACTTTTAGAGCCCAGAAGAATCTCACATGGCATCTAACCGAGTAGGAGCCAGAGAGGTAACTTTCCACAGAAGCAGGCCCGAGCCCAGGTCTCCGGCTTGCTGTGAAGGTGCTCTGCTCACACCCCTCAATCTCTCACTCACCCAATGACTGGCAATAATTTCTGCACAATAGTTCATCAGCGTACTGGCACTCAGCTCCTCCGCAGTCTGATAGAAGCGAATACAGTTCCTGACGTTCACCAGAGACATAACACTCTTCTCACATCTGCAAGAGAATATTAATGATGAACAGCATCATTAGGACAAACAGATTCATAAACGAACAAATCAAAGCTGTGACTGGTATACTGGCAGTCTATGTCCAATAACACTAGCGTCCAAGATAAGCAGAGGAGTTAGGAATGATTTACAGCTGAGCTACCACATTTTAAAAGTACAAGAATTGCATTATACCACATTGACCATTCTGGTCAGAATCAAAATAACCTCTAAATAAACATGATAAGCATAACCCACCCAACTGACTTATAATTAATTCAATGAAACTCACTAATCATACACAGGCACCTGCAAATTCAAAGACATAATAGGTCAAATTCACTCCTTTCATATATAACTGTACAGGACATGTGTGCAGTTCCCACGAGCACAGCTCTGTTATGCCACCAGTGAGGCTTCAAATTAGCTTCAAACAGGAGGCTCTATGTATGCCTCAATAAATTAACATCTCCGAAAAGTTCCCCCAAAAGTGAACTGTATGGTATGTGAATTAATTTTAAAGCTGACATTTAAAAGCCCACTAGAAAATGGAGAGACAACTGAGTTTCACCCATTATACCCACAGATTACACACAGTGAACCCACAGTATACACACAGTACACCCAGAGTACACCCGCAGTATATACACAGTACACACACAGTACACAGAGTACACCCAGTGAACCCACAGTATACCACAGTATACACCCAGTGCACACATAGTTCTCCCGCAGTACACACAGTATACACACAGTACACCCACAGTACACACAGTACACCCACAGTACACCCACGGTACACACACAGTATACACACAGTACACCACAGTATACACACAGTATACACACAGTATAAACAGTATACACACAGTATACACACAGTACACACACAGTACACATATAGTACACACACAGTATACACAGTACACCACAGTATACACACAGTATACACACAGTACACACACAGTACACCACAGTATACACACAGTACACTCACAGTACACAGTACACCCACAGTACACACAGTATACCACAGTATACACACAGTATACACACAGTACACAAAGTATAAACGGTGTACACACAGTACACATACAGTACACACACAGTATACACACAGTATATGCACAGTACACACAGTATACGCACAGTACACACACAGTATACACAGTACACCACAGTATACACAGTACACACACAGTATACACACAGTATACACACAATATACACACAGTACACAGTACACATACAGTATACACACAACACCACAGTATACACAGTACACAGTACACGCACAGTACACACAGTACACGCAGAGTATACACACAGTACACACATGGTATACACACAGTACACACACAGTATACACACAGTACACAAAAGTATACACAGTATACACACAGTACACCACAGTACACACACAGTACACACAGTATACACACAGTACACGCACAGTACACGCAGTACACGCACAGTACACACAGTACACGCACAGTATATGCACAGTACACACAGTATATACAGTACACACACAGTACACACAGTATACACACAGTACACACAGTATACACACAGTACGCATAGTATACACACAGCATACACAGAGTATACACATAGTACACAAAGTACACACAGTAGACCCACAGTAACCCACTGTGTATAATACATATGTCCATAACTTTATTTATAGAGCATATCAAGACAGAAAAACTGGCTCCATGGATGTCCGAATAGGCTGCTAACAAGCAACACCACTACAAGACCCTCACATTCACTAATAAGAAAGCACCCAGTATGTCACACAGGCCATCAGGCTCCCATTGGCACAAAGCCAATACACACCCTGGCCTAGGAGATGCAGCACCAGGAAGCTGACTCCAAACTCCTGGAGGCCGCAGGGAGCCTCTGCAGAACTGGGACTGGTGGGAAGGAGGCCAGCGGCACAGTCCTTCCACCCCCTAGCCTGCACATCTCCCTCCAAATGAGGGTCACCTCCAAGGACATCACAGAGGCCTGGCAGCCTACCGCAGCTTCATCTGTCCTGCAGCTCCCACAGGGAGCTGATCACAAGGGCGGAACAGCACTGAGAGCACTGCACTGTGAGGTAAGAAAGACCTGAATGGAGATCCACTGAACTCTCAGTGCCCCTTGTCTCCTGCTCCGTACAGTAAGGACACTGCTCTAGCTCAGAGGGTCGGATGAAGGAAGCTAAGTGAACCCTGCAGAGTCTATGGTACGTAACTGGTGTGCTCATCAGTTTGAGGGCCTTCTCAAGGCAGCAGCAGAGTTTATAACCAACACGGACTGGTTTCATACTACAGTGAAAACAAATGACTGACTAGCAGATAATTCTCAGTTTTCGCAGGTGACGTGGAAAAGGCCACGCACGTGGGAGGGATATGGGGAAGGAAGGAGGGAAGTCGTAACAAAGACCTGAGAAGAATGAGGAACAAAGCTCCCCAGGGAGACCAGGGGGGAAGAGAACAATCTTGCCACCCTTTCTCCACCCAGCACAGGCACCCATTCTATGCCAAGGCGGATGCTTAAGTTCTCTGTTTCTAAGTACCACAGGTGAGGTGGTGTAAGGAAGCATCTCCCACAGGGCACTTATCAATCACACTGTTACAGTATCTCAGTAAGTTACTGGAATGAGCAACAGTGTTTATTTCTGAGCAATGTTCCACCAACTGATCGTGACCTGGCTATGAAATCAGAGCGTTCCAGGAGAAAAGTCCTCTGCTTACATGCATGACACTTCTCGATTTTACAATGACAGATACCCAGGTACTGCCATCCTAACGTCCTACCGCAGGGACTACTGACTCATATTTGCAGAGGCCTTTGCAAAGCACTTTGACAGACAAATCCCCTTCTCCTTTCTGCTGCCAAATGACATTCGTACCAAGATACTCAAATGTGTTTCCCGAAGGCAGACGTTTTATTTCAACCGGCAGAAAACTTCATTGTCACCTCACCCTGGGGTCCCCAAAATGCCATTCACTATTCGAAAAGCGTGTAACTAATCACCAACATGGCTTACGTAACATAAATTTACATTTACATAGAAGACCATGTCATCTTATTTAAAAATTCAGATTCTTAGTTCTTATCTTCTCTTCCAACAGTAGCAGGACAGACTAACTTTCCTCTGAAGGAATTTTGTTGTTCATACATGTTTTTACTTTTAGAGCACTAAAAGGATATAGATGTACAAAAACAATTTTCAAAGTACAAAATCAAGGCTGTATTAAGCATATCACAAACTCCTGTCTAGTTTCAGTATCACTCCCACGTGCATGAACAGGAGGCGTGGAAAAGGTACTGACAGGAGAGACAACAAAACGTTAACAGTGGCTGAATTACAGATAACTTAGGGTTTTCTCTCTATATTATTCTATATTTTCCAAATGCCATATGCTGAGCTTGTATTTTATAATCAGGAAAACAACTATTATAGCAACTATCAATTTTTAGCATTTACTATTAATTCTTTAAAAAAAAATATCTTTCTGATAATACTTAGCAAAAAAACTTCCTTTTCATCAAACTGGTGATAGCAATCCCAAACCTCCGCGATCCCGACATGACAAACATGAGCGACACCTACTTCATACTGACCTGCACACATTTGTGACAACCCTTCACTTACTATCTCAGATGTGTGATTCTGCCTGCGCACAGCAATGGGCACTCTGTGACCTTTTAAAAGCCGACATTTGACCTCCGCCCACCCCGTGTCTTCCAGTGCCACAGCAAGAGATAACAACTTAATGCCCACAACCAATGGTACAAAATTGAGCATCTGGTAATGTTGATGACTAAGAAGACTAACCAGTCAATAAACAAACATTTTAATTAAAGAATCCATTACACAAATTACAATTACCTAAACTACTCCAACCCCAAGGCATTTTTATCAAAGCAATTTAATTTACAGGCAAGTTTGACAAGGTCAATGGAAAAAAGCTCAGTAAATCTGGAAAAAGAAAAGATACAAATCATATTCAATCTAATTAAAATCATTTTCAATTCACTCAGATGGTTCAAACGCTCACCCAAACAAACCAGAGTTCACAGCAAGGCCTCCACGGTCAAGTTAGCTTTGCTAACTGAATACCATATGTGCCTACCTTAAACCTGTTTGGGTTTTGTTGTTGTTGTTGTTACTGGATTTAGATATTAAAATGCACTCAAGCTGACGTCAATCATAGAGCATTAGGAGGAACCTGCATAACTCATTCACGTGGGGCATGGCGGCCCGGTAAATACCAGCCCCGTGGTGGAAGGAGCAAGCAGCTCTAGGCTCTCTGAGGGCAACACAACAGGGGGAGTACCTCTTGATGGCGGAAACCATCCCTTCACTCACCCAGGAGAAAAGCCACTCCTGCAGCACCCGGGGGGTACAAAAGATCACTAAATGATGTAAAAGACATTCCACCAACCAAAATGACCACCAAGGGCCACATCCCCAACAGAAACCAGAGGGCATTTTGCATGACATCATAGGTGTGACATTTTGTCTTCTGTTGCTCTGGAAGGCCGACTTGGGAGAGCAACAGAGAAAATGCAATATAAAAAAACACAACAGGCTATCTCCTTGGGAACCTAAAAAGCAGTAACAAATGCAGTAAGAGCTTGTTTCATAAACACTGTCTATGAAACTTACTGAGCTGTACACTCTTGTGTATTAATTCAGGCATTAATGAGTTTCTAACAAAAAGAATATGACCAAGGACTTCCCCAAGTACATATATCCCATCACAAAGTAGAATAAATATCACAAGAAGTGGTACCGGAGGGTAAGCTGTGGGTCTGGACACTATAATCTGAATTAGTTCATATTCAGTTTATCAGCTCACACAATTATGTAATACCAGGTTTGTTTGTTTGTTTTAAAGATTTTATTTATTTGAGAGAGAGAGAATGAGAGACAGAGAATACAAGAGGGAAGAGGGTCAGAGGGAGAAGCAGGCTCCCCGCTGAGCAGGGAGCCCAATATGGGACTCAATCCCGGGACTCCAGGATCATGACCTGAGCCGAAGGCAGTCGCTTAACCACCTGAGCCACCCAGGCGCCCTGTAATACCAGGTTTAAAAAAAAAAAAAATCAGTGAAAGAAAAGAGAATACCTAAAAGCTTTGGCAAAATTTAGCTTACAAATTAACACAAAGCAAGGGAGATAAAATTCTCTCCCCACTACTGCCTTTAAAAAAACACCTTGCAAAAGTTATTTACATTAGCAGAAGAAGCTGTTTTCCCAGAGCCTGGCACAATTAAAGCTCAGCCACCACCATGTGAGGAGCCTGAATAGATGTGCTGGGACTTGCCTCTCCCTGAGGAGCTGTAGCTGAAACCGATTCGCCAGCTTCATCAGCTCAGTCAGGAACACGTCATCCTCTCTGAACTCCAGCTCATCCGTGTATATCCAACGGAGCATCGTCCTTGTCACCTCAGGGTTAGCATCTGGTTAAGGAAAGAGAGACACTGAAAACAAAGCACCAATGACACACTTAAGTCTGCTTGAGGATCCCTAAAATTTTAGGCTAATAGAGTAAATTCTGGTACCCTCAACTCAAAGAAATATCATGCAGCCATCAAAAATGGCAATTAAGCATTCTGGGCAGCATCTGACTTCAGAAAAATGTTCAAGTTTTGCAAAGGGTGGTAAGTGAGAGAAGTAAACTACTAAAGACGTAAGTCAAGGGGCGCCTGCGTAGCTCAGTCGGTTGAGCGTCCGATTCTTGATTTCAGCTCAGGTCACGATCTCAGGGTTGTGAGATCAAGCCCCGCATCGGCGTGGAGCCTGCTTAAGAGTGTCTCTCTCGGGGCGCCTGGGTGGCTCAGTCGGTTGGGCGACTGCCTTCGGCTCAGGTCATGATCCTGGAGTCCCGGGATCAAGTCCCGCGTCGGGCTCCCTGCTCAGCAGGGGGTCTGCTTCTCCCTCTGACCCTCTTCCCTCTCGTGTTCTCTCTCATTCTCTCTCTCTCAAATAAATAAATAAAATTAAAAAAAAAAAAAAAAGTCTCTCTCTCCCTCTCCATCCCCTTCCCTAACCCCCTCTCTCTTAAAAAAAAAAAAGATGTAAATCAAATAAATTGGGGGAAAATATTCTGAATATAGGACAAAGAGTTTATAATCCAATGAAAAGATCTTATAAATAAACATGAAAACATGGATAACCAATGGGAAAATGGGCAACAGCTATGAATGGTAATTCACAAAGTTAACTAAAAATGTTCAGTAAACCTTACCAGTAACTACAAACACAAAACTAGAATATATTTGTCTCTCAACGATTCCTAAAAAGTACATAACCTCTTACACACCAATTATACATGAGATTATTACCCTAATAACTGAGCAAATACAGAGAAATATGTATACTAAGACAGTCAAGATAGTATTATTTTTTTTATTTGATCCTTTATCTTTTTTTCTTTAATTTTTTTGTTATGCTAATCACCATACATTACATCATTAGTTTTTGATGTAGTGTTCCATGATTCATTGTTTGTGCATAACACCCAGTGCTCCATGCAGAACATACCCTCTTTAATACCCATCACCAGGCTAACCCATCCCCCCAAGATAGTATTATTTTTTTTTTTAAAGATTTTATTTATTTATTCATGAGAGACGGAGAGAGAGAGGGGGAGAGAGAGAGAGAGAAGCAGAGGGAGAAGCAGGCTCCCAAGGAGCAGGGAGCCCGATGCAGGACTCGATCCCAGGACCCTGGGATCATGACCTGAGCCGAAGGCAGACGCTTAACCATCTGAGCCACCCAGGCGCCCGATAGTATTATTTTTAATAACAAAAAACTGGAACAAAAATCTTTAAGATTTTTTCAAAACTTTTTTCAAAATTTTCACACTGGAAAATTTGGCATCAATTAAAATTATTTAGAAAGGCTAAAAATACATGTATTAAATGATCTCATTTTTTTGAGCTCTATGTGTGTGTGTATATATATGTGTATGATTATGTATACACACACACACACACAAACACAAAGCTTTGTGTCTGTCTCCCATCCAAACAGTAACCAGATCCAACCCTGTTTAGCTTCTAAGATCAGACAAGACTGAGGACATTCAGGGTGGTATGGCCAGAAACAGACTATCAGTCTTTTTATTTTTTTAAGTAATCTCTACACTCAACATGGGGCTCAAACTCATGACTCCAAGGCCAAGAATCACAAGCTCAACATGCTCCACCGCATGAGCCAGCCAGGTGCCCCTGTCTATCTGTTGAGACACTGGAAGAATATACACTAAAATATTAACCCTGGTAGGATCTGTAACTAATTTTTCTTCGGGCTTATTTTTTATTTATTTCTTTTTTTTTTGAGGAGGAGGAGGAGGAGGAGGGACAGAGGGAGAAGGAAAGAGAGAATGTTAAGCAGGCTTCACACCCAGCATGGAGCCCGACGTGGGGCTTAATCCCAGGACTCCGGGATCATGACTTGAGCTGAAATTAAGAGCCAGATGCTTGACTGAATGAGCCACCCAGGCACCCTGATTCTGTTTCAGAATTTGGCTGGTGTCCTTTAATAACCCTCCCCCAATTATCCAAATCAATAAACTTGACAACTGATTAAGTCAAAACCTAAAGAATTTTCTTAAAAACCACAATCAGCGGAGATTTCCTGGGAGCCCTCAAAACTTCAAATGAAGGGCGCCTGGGTGGCTCAGTTGGTTAAGCGACTGCCTTCAGCTCAGGTCATGATCCTGGAGTCCCGGGATCGAGTCCCACATCGGGCTCCCTGCTCGGCAGGGAGTCTGCTTCTCCCTCTGACCCTCTTCCCTCTCATGCCCTCTATCTCTCATTCTCTCTCTCAAAAAAATAAATAAAATCTTTAAAAAAAAAAAACAAAAAAAACAAAAACTTCAAATGAAGTAAAGTTCAAGTGATCTCCAAGCATTCCCACTCCTGTCTTGACTCTTCCCTTCAGCTCCAAACTACAGTGAAAATAAATTCACTCTGAGACTCTGCCTAAAGCAGACATGGGTACAAGGTGGGCAAAGAGCACTGAGCCAGGAGGAGGGTATGTGCTTTTAGGTGAATCCTGCAGTCTCCTGCTACCAATCTACTCACACAAATGGCTGTTCAATTCGATGAGCCTATAAACCAGGAGGAGATGCAAAAGGAATAGACTCTGAGAAGTGAAGCCAGTTGGCCTCCACGACCTGTGTGGTATACCTGCTGCGAGAGGCAGTCACCCCTCAGCAGGCCCAGCACACAAGCTGGTAAAACTCCGTGACTACAGGGATCAAAAGAAAAAGAACACCTCAACTTCTGACTTCACAGTAGTCCAGGGTGCACAGAGCCACATTTTGCAGAGAACTTGAGATTTGCTATATGGCCAGGTTTTCTGGTTGTAGTTTTGATTTCATTTTTAAAAAATGCTTTATAATACATTTGGAAAGAATGGGAATAAACTTATTGGTAGGCAATTAGCCATTAAATGAAGCATACTGAGGAAATTAATTTCGTTACTTAAATCCTGTATTTATTTTTTTTTTAAGATTTTATTTATTTATTTGACAGAGAGAGAGACAGTGAGAGAGGGAACACAAGCAGGGGGAGCGGGAGAGGGAGAAGCAGGCCCCCTGCGGAGCAGGGAGCCCGATGCGGGGCTCGATCCTAGGGCCCTGGGATCATGACCTGAGCCGAAGGCAGACGCCCTTAAATCCTGTATTTAATCTAAAATACTGAGAAAAGTATTTTGAGTATCCTACTATGACTCTGGTTTAACTCAATTGTCTTCAAGTTTCCAACTATTTTTTCTTCATTTACTTTACACAAAAGTTTTTGATTCATAAAATTAAAAAATTGTGATAGACGGCATCTTTTATCAGTAAAAGCGTGCTCTTTAGTCATTTTAAGGATGCACCCTTAACTATAACTTCCTGGGAATAAAAATAAACCCCAAACCATACTTCTAAATCATCCCTTATCAAAAAGCAATAAAAGGACAGATGTTCTAGTTCTGTCTCAGCAGGGTAACAACCCATCCCACTTTAACTGATTCTAGCTGAAAACTCTAGACAGAGCACCAAAAAACAACTACCTGATGATTCTAAAAAGTACACAAAAGTAGCTGAATTGTAGAGGAAGGAAAACCTGAAGAAGCAACCGTGCTGGATGAGTTGCCCCATTTTTTTTTTTCCCTATGGCTTTACCCTGAGGACAGACCCCAGTTAGGGATCCACACGGGTATGGTGACCATGCGGATGCGTAACCCTCTAATAAAAACTCCATCTTTCTGGCCAGGTGCACCAAGGAAAGGGGTCTGGCGGAGCTGAAGAGCAAGGAAAATCTCATTTTGTGTATGAACAAAGGCTCACCTCTGAGATAGTCATGTATGGAAGAGTCCCAGCCTAGCTTCAAGAACTGCAGTGAAAGGGGCGCCTGGGTGGCTCAGTCGGTTAAGCGTCTGCCTTCGGCTCAGGTCATGGTCCCAGGGTCCTGGGATCGAGCCCCACATTGGGCTCCCTGCTCCACGGGAAGCCTGCCTCTCCCTCTCCCACTCCCCCGCTTGTGTTCCCTCTCTTGCTGTGTCATTCTCTATCAAATAAATAAATAAAATCTTTAAAAAAAAAAAAAAGAATTGCAGTGATGTATGAGCCACTACCCACAGAAGGTGAAACAACTTTCAGTCTGAATTTACAGAGATTCAATATTTTCCAGAGGATGATACAGGACCCAGAGTCTACAAAACATAATCACAATGTCCAGGATACAATCCAAAATCATTTGATAGGAAAAAAAAAAATCAGGAAAATATGGCCATTTCTCAAGGCAAAAGATAACATATTCTAACCCCAAGATGACCAGATACTGAATTAATCAAAGACATGAAAGCATCTGGTGTAACTATGCTCCAGAAGGTAAAGGAAAACACACGTAAAATTTTAAAAATAGAAATTTTCAGCATATAAACTAAAAAAGGAACAAGTGGAAATTACAGAATGAAGAATACAATATATGTAACTAAAAACTCAATGGGCTCAACAGCAGAATGAAAATGGCAGCAGAAAAAGTCAGCAAACTCGAAGACAGGCCAACAGAAATTATCCTATCTGAAGAACAGAGAGAAATTTTAGTTAAATATTTTTTACTATGATTAAAAATTAAAAAATAAGATAAAAAGTCTTGAAAGCAACTAGAGAAAAACCACCATTACATACAGACAAAAGATCCCCATGACTGCAGATTTCTCAACAGAAACCACAGAGGCCAGAACAAAGTGGAACAACATTTTTAAAGTTCCTTAAAAAAAGAGAGCTGTCAACTCAAGTGTCTATATCCAGGGAAAATATCCTTTAGACACAAAGGCAAAATAAAGACTTCCTCAGATGAGGGAAAAAAATCTCTAACAGACTTGGTCTATAAGCAATGTTAAAAGAAGTTCTTCAGGATGAAAAGAAATGATACCAGAGGGAAACATGGATCTTGACAAA